ACTTAAAGTGATACGAGATACTGGGCTTGTTCGTTTTAGCTACACTGGGGCTGCTCTGGGTCTGCTCTACACAGGATAATACAGGACAGATAAATAGTTTTGTCCTGTATTATCTTGTTTAGAGCAAACCCAGAGCTGCCCCAGTGCAACTAAAACGAACAGGCCCACTGTGAACAATATAAATAATATTTTAATAAGTAATTATAGAATTGAAAAAATAAGAGAAATATAATTCTTAAATAAAATAAATTAATAAGATTTACATAAGTAGTTATTATTAGTTTTAATGCAAATTAAATTAGACATCAAAAATATATTATAACCTATATATACATATTATTTTACAAGAAAAGTATAATAATATATAAAATTGATTTTCAGAAAAAACTTCTTTTATAATAAAAAATGGATAATAAGGAAAATGTTAATATTTTATTAATGTTATATCAACAACATTCTTGTTTATATGTTACAAAAAGTGTTGATTATCATAATTGTATAAAACGAGATCAAGCTACAGATAATCTGTAATCAGTACAAAGAATTAACAGGACAACCACTAACAACTAAAATTGCAAAAAAAATTAATAATTTAAGATCACAATATCTGGACCATCTAAATAAAATAAAACATTCGAAATCAAGCGGTGCATCACTTGATGATATCTATAAACCAACTTGGCAATATAACATAGATCAGAAAATCATCGTAAAGAATCGTAACTCGATTACAACGCTAACTATATTCAGCCAAGTATAAATATTATTGTTCGAGGACTCGGACCGAAATCTCGGACCGAGTTCTAGTATCGTGGACACAAGGCTTTACTGCAACTCAAACTTGAGGTAGCTGATGCGTGTATTATGCGCTGCAGGTGGTGGGGATCTAGGGAATTCTAAGCGCTGTTCATGCGCGCATTGAGTGAAACGGAACGTTTTCTATGTAATTCGTGCGCATAATGTGCGAAACGGAACGCAACCATAGTTCAATGATAAAGACAGACACAAATAAAGGAAAAAAGCAAGAAATAAAATTGGAGGACTATTGCATCAAATATTTTTAACAGGATAAAACGTTAATAATTGTGAGCTTTGCATTGCACAGCAATAGTCAGGAAAACGATTTCGCACAAAGATGGAAAACTCTTCATCAATAAACACGGGACAGGAATACTATTGGAATGTTCAGCAGAATGTAGAGTATTATCCAGTACCTCCAGTGCCGAATTTTCCACCACCGAATTACAATCAATCTTCAAATTACAATTCTTTATATTCTTATAATGTACCTTCTCCTGATGTATCAAATATTAAATCGACAAATTCAGTGTATTATTCTGAAACTCCAGTGTATCATAGTGAAACAGCCAATGTTCAGAGTAATGTTCCTTGTCAGAATCAAGTAAATTCACAGAACAATTATCAATATTATGGCAGAACGGATTTGGCACAACAATCTGTGAATACAAATTTGGCACAATCTGTAAGTACAGATTTGACACAACAATCTGTAAGTACAGATTTGACACAACAATCTGTGAGTGAGAATTATTATAATAACTGGAATTCCACAGTTGATTATTACAATAATACAAGTAATGAATGGCAATCTAATAGTTCTTTCACAAATTGGGAAATGTATCAAAATGTACCTGTCTCAAAGTATGAAATCAGCAAGACGTATGACAATAATAAATTATGCTCGACAAAGAGCTACGAATCTTTGCAAGGAACAAAGGGGTCTGAATCGAGATACAATAAGGAATCTAGTCACACAAGTAGCAGAAAGAGATCCAAAAGTCCAGAAAGTAGATCAGGAAAAAGATCTAGATCACGATATAAAGATCATAGATATGATTCAAATGAGGATCGCAGACATTGCAAGTACAGAGAAAGATCTAATTCTAAAGAATATTCATATGACAGCAGAGATTCTGAAAGAAGGTCTTATAAGAGACATAGAAGTTATAAATCACATTCAGAGAAATCATGTGCAAGAAATAGAAAGAGATCAAGATCACAGGAATCCTGTTCAACCAGAGACATAACACCAATTAACAATGCTAAACAAAAGGGTCCTACTGAGAGAGAACTACTTTTAGAGAAGTATAGGTAAGATTGTGTATAGCTTTGTATTAGTTTTTACAAGATATTCTAAAATTTGTTGTACAATAAGAAACAAAATAAATGAAGTTGAATCTTTTGTTTATGAGAAATTAGTTATTGCGTATTTTTAAATGTTTTTATAAAATAATTTTACAATAAGAATAATTTAGCTGTTTGGTCAATGCTTTTTTCCTGTGTAATCTTAATCCAATCTTAAAATACTACCTATGTTGTACATGTAAGCAATTTTGATAATCATATGAAACCTATTAGGCGTAATTATTGTGCAACGAGTAAGGATATGGAGCGAAGACTGAGTGAATTATCAGCAATTGGATCTGAAGGTATACTTGAAAACGAAAAGAAAATTTGGACACGTACGGCACCAGCAGATCTCTACTATGTCAGAAATGAAAATGATTTGAAAATAATGAGGAGTACTTCTAAGCTGCAAGAACTGTGTGCAATATTTAAGCAGTTGTTAATTGACAGAGCAACTGCAGCGAGAGCATTACAGGTATACTTATTTCCATAAATTATATTAGTTTTTGGCAAAAATACAAAAAAAACAGCATAAAAAATATTATTATTTTACTTTAGCCACCTTATGAGCCGCCTCCAAGAAAAACCAGAGCACGTCTTTGTCGTCATAAATCTGAAGCTTGCAGCAGTTCATCTGACAGCGACAGCTCTATGGATGAAGATGATAGAACAATGGAAGAGTTAATGGCAAAAAAACAGCATCCGCAGAGATTGCATCCCGAAATGTGGTTTAATGATCCTGGAGAAGTAATATCACTAATTATTTCCTAAATTTACCATATGTACATCACTCTTAACATTTTATAATGTATTCCCATTTTTTTAGATGAATGATGGTCCATTATGTAGATGCAGCGCGAAATCACGACGCTCGGGCATAAGACATGGGATTTATGCTGGAGAAGGTGTAATAAACAAATGCGACTTAAATTCGAACAACGCAAACAAGCTGTATCACTACAGAATAACGATCAGCCCACCAACAAATTTTCTTACCAAAACACCGACGATTATCAAACACGATGAACATGAATTTATATTTGAAGGCTTCTCAATGCTATCTCATTTCCCTTTGGTCAAATTACCTACATGCAAGGTTATAAGATTTAACATTGAATACACGATTCTCTACATAGAAGAGAAGTTGCCGGAAAATTTTACGATAATGGAACTTGATTACTTTCGTAGGTAGTTTGTTCTATTTTGCAATCAACATTTTTCCTTTGTTATTCATTTCAAGTATAATGTTTTGTTTAATCTTTTACAGAAATGTATTTATTTAGAGAGATTTTGGAGCTTGTTGATTTTGACTTGTACACGGCACAGGACAAATCCGGTTGCGGACAGTTTCATTTTATGCCAAGATTTGTGCGTGATTTGGTCGACAATGGACAAGAGATTTTATCGATGAACGAGGTTCTGAATTATTTGATAAAGAGCAGCACTCTTCTGATAGATCCGGACGATCTACCTAGATTGGTGGCGATGCCACAGCATAAATGGCAAGATTTCGCGGACGAGGTGAAAGGAATGGTTGTAACTTATCCCGGAAAGAAACCGTGTAGCGTTCGTGTCGATCAACTGGACAGAAACCAGCCGGACCAAGAGAAACAAGAAGACCAATCATCCGGCGTGATTGCACACCCTGCGATAGTGCACTTTGGTATCCGGCCACCTCAACTTAGCTATGCAGGAAACGCGGAGTAAGTATCGTGCAATTTCACATACAGATAACTTAAAATATAATACATTCGTATTAGATAATTTTTAGATGCTTCAAATATGCGAAACCTCTTAATTTATTCTTTAAACTGCATAGTTCACGTACTTATAAACTATTAATTTTATGAATTTAGCTATCAAAAAGCGTGGAGGGATTATGTCAAGTTTCGGCATCTACTTGCGAACATGTCGAAACCGTCCTTCGAGGATAAGAGAAAGTTGGAAGCGAAAGAGAATAAACTGCAAGAATTGCGTACTCAGAGCAAAATGAAACGCGATGTCACGGTTGACGTTAGCTCGGAAGGATTTTACAGAACTGGTATTATGTGCGACATTGTGCAGCACGCGATGCTGATACCGGTGCTCGTTTGTCATCTGAGGTTTCACAAATCCTTAGACAATCTGGAACGCACATTGGGATACGAGTTCAAAAACAGATACCTGCTTCAGCTGGCACTCACGCATCCCAGTTACCGCGAGAACTTTGGCACGAATCCGGATCACGCGCGAAATTCTCTTACTAACTGCGGTATAAGACAACCCGAGTATGGTGATCGCAGAATTCACTATATGAACACACGAAAACGCGGCATCAATACCTTGATAAACATAATGTCTAGATTCGGCGCAAAAACAGAAACGGAGTCGTCGATAGCGCACAACGAACGGTTAGAGTTCCTGGGCGATGCGGTTGTCGAGTTCCTAACCTCCATCCACCTCTTTCACATGTTCCCAGATTTAGAAGAGGGCGGTTTGGCCACGTACAGAGCCGCGATTGTACAGAATCAGCATCTCGCTGTGCTGGCGAAAAAATTGAATCTGGAAGATTATATGCTTTACGCTCACGGCAGCGATCTTTGCCATGATTTGGAGTTGAGACACGCGATGGCGAATTGCTTCGAAGCATTGATGGGCTCATTGTTTCTTGACGGAGGAATAGAAGTGGCCGACAGAGTCTTCGGTGAGACGCTCTTCAAGGGTGAGGAAGATCTCGCCAAAGTTTGGGTCAATTATCCGCGACATCCTCTTCAGGAACAAGAGCCGACAGGAGATAGACAGTGGATCCCCAGTTTCGAATTGCTACAGGTACTGCGTTTGAGTAAATTTTTCAGTTTATTGCGTTGTTATCTACACAATCGCTCTTACATCTTCTCTTACGTTATCAGAAACTGACCAAATTCGAAGAATCAATCGGCATCGAATTTACTCACATCCGCCTCCTTGCCAGAGCATTCACGGACCGTAGTATAGGCTTTACAAATTTGACGTTAGGATCCAATCAACGGTTGGAGTTTCTGGGAGATACCGTGTTACAGCTTATTGTTTCTGAATACTTGTACAAGTTCTTCCCAGAGCATCACGAGGGACACTTATCGGTAAACAGTGTTACTATTATAAATTATTTTGCCTGATAATTTTATTTATCAACCTAACAATTATGTGTATTTATCACAGTTGCTGCGAAGCTCCCTGGTAAATAACAAAACGCAGGCAGTTGTTTGCGACGATCTAGGCATGACTCAGTATGCGCTTTACGGGAATCCAAAAGCCGAGTTGAAAACGAAAGACAGAGCAGATTTATTAGAGGCTTTCCTCGGCGCGCTTTACGTCGATAAGGGTTTAAAATATTGCCATGTCTTTTGCGACGTGTGTTTCTTTCCGCGTTTACAAGATTTTATTATGAATCAAGATTGGAATGATCCAAAGAGCAAGTTGCAACAGTGTTGCTTAACTCTGAGAACTATGGATGGCGGGGAACCAGATATACCTGTTTATAAGTAAGTTTTTGCTCTACTGGCATGCGGAAAAGTCTTCTCGAAATATTGCTGGTAGACAAAAAGAATCTGTATCTTTGTAATTACGACATTTTCTCTTTATTTGATTAGCATAAAATGATGATTCTAAATTTACAGCAAAAAATCTTAAAAATTTTACTTGTTTTTACAAACATTCCAATTTCATGCAATATTCACAGCTAAATGGTTAAGTATTTGTAAAAGGATATTATATAATTTTACACAGTTTATTTTTTTCTTGCAGAGTTATCGAGTGTAAAGGCCCGACTAATACAAGGGTTTATACTGTTGCTGTATATTTCCAAGGGAAACGGCTGGCTAAGGCTTCAGGACATAGCATCCAAGAAGCAGAGATGAATTCTGCCAAAGAAGCTTTAGAAAAATCTCAAGGTATTATAGGAAAATGATAAAATTATTATGCAGAATGATTCAGTATTGACTTGTCTCTCCCACGAACTTTGCAAGAGAATATTACAAATACAGAATTGCTGGTTTTTTTGCCCAAAATTCGATTAATCGTCATCCTTTCTTTATTTTCTAATATTTTAAGTATCTGAGTAACTAATATAATAGCTTTGAATGAAGATCTTGTTAAAGTACACTTAATATTTTGAAACTAAAAAAAATAAATTTAAAACATTTCAAAATTTTTCAACTAGTCAGAATGATTTCACACAAGCTTGCGTTCTTAAAATATCATTGTTACTTTGTATCTATTTTATTTTTTCTTTCCAGACTTATTCCCGCAATTGGACCATCAAAAACGTGTGATAGCAAAAAGTATGAAAATGCAACAATGGCCAAATAAACAGAAATCAAGAGGAAGATCTGCAAGATCTAATGACAGATCCGATGACTCTGATTCCAGCCAAAATTGGAGAAGTAGTAAAGAACGTAATTTTCCAAGAAAAAGAGAAAAAGAGTAATTGTTTCCTATCACTCTTATAGTAAGTATTAATTTTTTTGTTCTACATAAAAATATACAAAATAATCAAAATATTGAATTATTTTAACAATGAGTTTTTTTGTTATGTATAAAAATCAAGAAAAATTGCTTTAAAAAAGGCAATTTTTAAAGTAACTCTGCAAAAAATCTGCGAAAAATGTTGTGCAGAGGATAATCTTGATTTTCATCTATCAATAATTCTATTTCTCCCTAAAAACTACTACGATGAATAAACAATAACATTGCACGATGAACAATAATGACAGTGTCGATGAATTTATGTCAACGCGAAAGGTTTGCTGAGTTAAAATATTTTTTAGTTTGTTAAATGTCATGTTAAGCAATTCTTGTTCATCGCTTTTCCCCCATTTTATTATTGGATATACAAATCAAGATTATTTTCTCACAGAAAAAAGAATGTAAATATATATTTAATTTTTTTTGTTAATAATGTATATCATATACAGAGTGATTCAAAACAATGTCCTTGAAATATCATATTCTTGAGCGATTTTTTAAATGATTTTTCTTTTAGCAAAATTTTATCCGAAGCTTAGTTTTTGAGTTATAATTGAAAATAGTTCGCTATTCACACGAATGCGGTACAAGGACGGGCAAGGACAGTGCAACGCATCATAAGCTTCGGATAAAATTTTGCAAAAGGAAAAATCTTAGAAATCGCTCAAGAATATGACATTTCAAGGACATCAGGTTGTATTGAATCACTCTTATATTTACTTTGTAGTCTTATTTTTAGTCATATTTACAATTGTAAAAAGTTTAATCGATTACCTCATTTCATCTATATGAAGTTTTATTTCAATAAATATCTATTTTCATGAAATATGCTGTGGCTGGATTCTTATTTATGTTAATTGCTATGTCAATTCTACGCTATCTATACTAAAATTGGTATTAAAGTATTGAATTTATCAAATTTAATATTTTCAAATTTATTCAACAGATCTTAAATACAGATAGTTGTAAATGTAAAAAAAGTATTATAAATACATTCATAAATATTTTTTTATTTGCTGAGTTTTCATATGTATTTTGCATCCTGATGATATATCTTACTTGATTCGGTGACCTACATTCCATTTCTGAAACGCAAAATAAGGTGAAATATAAATATAGAAATAAAAAATGTTAGATTTCCATTTTATTATCGCAGCGCAAAAACATTTTTTTTACCTGCGCATTTGATAAGAGAAGTGGCATTTTGTATACGAAGGTATACGTAAGGACAACGTGTATCGATGCATTCGAAGTTGTCAAATAAACTTATCTCTCTATGTGCATCAAGCTGCTGACACGTCATAAGTTCCTCACCATCGAATTGATTCCACGAACAAGCTGTTATCGTTCCATATCCGAAGTTATGGACCTGGAAGATATCAATAGATTATGAAGTATAATTCTAGCGAATAATTACATCATTACATCGTTAACAGTTAAGTTGCGAGCATTTTAATAAACTTCTCATATATTTATTTTACAGTAAGAGAAAGAAACTGCCATAATTGTTTGGAAAAATACCAACTGTAATTGTCGTCTTGGCATTAATTGCGTATTGCGGGTGCAATATATATGTAGTTGATTTTGAAGGACTTATATAGCCCTCTATTTCATTTTGATATTCTGAGGACTCATTCGCATGTTTCGACATGACTACCGGCCTCAGGGTTCGCGGTACTAAAATAAGACCAAATTTAATATGTATATATATATATATGTTATAAAATATATGTGTGAATATGATAAATATTTATTGGAAAAATTACACTTGCAATACTTACTTGTTGACAAATATTGCACAATATTATCGATGTTAGGACCAAGTATTAAACGATCTTGATTTGATAATATCAGCGGTTGAAACAAACGAGAATTGCTTTCTGACACATAATATACAAAGTACAGATCTGTAATAGTAAAAATACAAACTATAATATTCGAACGTTATTAATATACATAAATACATTTTCCTCTTGCACTCTTTCGTTTCTTTCTCTTTTCAAAATATGCATTTATTTGTTTTTGCAAGTACAAGAGATGCAAAATATTAAAACTAAAAAGAACGCATCTAGCGTGAATGATTTATTACCAGGATGGAGATGCTTAATTTCTCGTAATAATTTTAAGATTATTTCCCGCTCTACTTCAGAAAACTCAGTCAATGGAACCAACATTACAACCACTTGTCCAAGCCCTCCTATTATATGTTGTTGCCGTTTTGTCTCCCAAGTTTCATTCATGTAATTAGATATTGTATTTAATGTTGCAATAAAATTCAAGTGCTCAGGCCCTATATAAATATGTATAACATTAGTCATAAAGTAGCAAACAATATAAATATGCCGAATAAAACTTACATAAAATCGTTGAAAAATTCGATACAGCGTGATAGGCAAAGTTAGGACTGTTTGTTACATTAAGCAACCATTGTCCCGATGTACCATGTATAATCCCCATTTTTGAACCATACATCGATATATCTAAATCATCTATTAATGCTCTAATGAGAGCAAGGTACAAGTAAAAATATAATTGTTAATTTAATATATATGTATATTAAATTATTTTTAATATGTCCATATTATGTTTAGTATAATTAGTACAGTGCTGTAATTCATTTCGACTCACGCGATAAAATCCATTGTATATTCCTTAGTCCAAGCACCATCGAATACGATTAGTGTTTCTATTTGCGGATAATGTTTTCTATTTCGACAGAGTAATTCCGTCAAAAGATGATCATTTGCATAAACGGAGAATTTAGTGACTGCGTAATCAACCAATCGTTTGAGAACTTGTGAAGATCGGAACATGATACCATTATGGTAGGCCAAAAGATGAGACGCAGCGTATGTCTGTTATAAATATATTTGTGGTAACTATTGAAGTTCTATCTTAACTTGTCTACTCTATATACTATTTGTGTGTAAAATATACAAAACCTGTTCATCCAGAAATGCCTTTGGCGCAACGAATGAGAAAGCCTTTTTCCTGTCGCAAACTTTAATGTTTTCATTGAATAGAGACATCCCTTCATCCGTATAATACATATCGAGGATTTGACTTAAACGAAGACTGTAAAAGTCGTTCATCCACTTTTGCACCTTATTTGCTATGATGAGACCTACAAGCTCAACGAAAAATGATGTGTATTGTACACATACTGTGTTGCTATTATACAAAAAAAAATTGCAGACATTTACCATCAATATCACCGACTATCTCAGCACGAGTGGCATCAAAATAGCCATTTTTATTTTTCAAATAATAAACATTAGGACGCATAGTATTGTTCCAGAAGCCGGTGGCTCCAATTTTCATATCGGTATCTAATATAGGTCCTTGATATACTACCATTTCCGCTAATTCGCCTGACAAATAATACCACATTTCATGATTTCAAGAGGAAAGAAAATTTTTCTAAGGAATAAGAGAATATATACAAATGACTTATTACCTGAAACACCTACCTGCGATTGTTGTTAGCCACATATTGTCCAATTTTATGGCTGGATCGAGCGAGGAGAGATATGACATTGATTTGTCGTGAATCATTTCGCTTCTCGGCATAATAAAATCGACCTCTTCCATGTGATTCGCGTCCGTGAATCCACTATTCATGACACTGGGCCTTTCTGAAATAAGATTCATTAAAAGAAGGTCAATACGTGAATTTATATTTACATGAATTTGTTATAATACAAGATTTATGCTCCTTTAAAAACCAACAAACCATACAAATTAATATATTTTTTAGAATTTTGTATGCTTATAAATTTATATATATATATATTATATTATTTCTTATTGTTTCAAAAGACAATAATTGTTGAATGTTGTTTCTACGTTATAGCAACAATAACAATCAATGTAGAAAAAGCAACATAGATTCAACGTTGAAAAAACCTTCACACTTCAACATTCAACATTGCAACGTCTCAGCAACGTTCTTTCAACTTTCTGTGCTGTATGGGATTCTGTTGATTCATATAAAAAAATATTTTGACACTCTTAAGATGATCTATCGCAAGAATTGTTAATGCGATATGTCTAATAAAAAGAATTAGCAAAAAAGGCCAAGAACATTATTGTCAGGGCGCAAAAAGCTGATTCTTGTGTCCTTTTTACTGCCACTTTTTTTTATAGAACCACGTACGTCACTCCATCGATGTACCTGATGTTATTGCGTCGATTATTTCATGTAGTCTAACATTCTGATGTTGAAGAGAAGCAGCGATGGCTCCTATAATAGCACCCGGAGTGATGGTTCCATAAGGTGTGAGGATTACTCCATATTCCCTTGGACAATTCCACAAGTCAGCAAATAGAGCTTTGCCTATCACAATTCATGTTAATTTAAAATTAAGTAATTTGAATATTGTACTCGATCGCTTAGACTTCAATTTTTTTAATGTTTCAGCACGAATAGAAACGTTACCTGTTAATTTTTGGCCGATTTCTTGACATAACGAACTTGTATCGCGCGAACTGTCTTTCATTATTGTGTTTGAGATAGCTTGATGCAAAGTGCATCGTTCTATTGCTGTCAGCGCATGAAATGGAAAGAGTTCAGGCTCTCCTGGCACCATTTTTTTTATCAATTTATATTTGAGACTTTGTCTTCTGGATTGTCCAAAAGGAAGTACCCCATCCTTTTCCTGTACATTCGTGTAGCGTTTGATGCCATCAAATTTAAACCTGTGTATAAGAGAGAAGGAGATTATAATATATGTAAATTATAAGATTTATTTATTTCAAAACTTTCTTGTATTAGAAATTCGTACCTATGCATTAAGGATGACGATAATGTTTTTATATCCATTGTCGAGTGAGAATATTTCTCTGCTTTGCGAATGATGTCTAGCAGCACACGTATATTCATAGGGAGATGGAAATCTTGCAAATTAGCATTCACGTAACATTCCTGAAGTTCTTCCGGTATGCCGCATTCTACCAAAGTTAATCTTGAGAAGAATACGTAACACGTATAAGCTGTAAAAATTTTCACAAAACGTTAGTAGAGTCGATGACACATTTTCGTAAACTGCATATCACAAATTCGTTAACATATTATTACCGTAGCATATTATTGACAAAACCATGAAGACATTCATTCATTTTTAATATTGAAATATCACTGCTTTTGTCACTCAATACAACGCTCATGTTGCACCTGATTCGTGTACTTTTCAATGATTCACATTGTGAAGATATAGTAAGATTATGTTCTACTTTAATACAGATAAGATAACCGTCACTGCGCAATCGGTGCTGAAATACTTTCATATACTACAAGTAAAACTACAACTAACACTCTTGCACGTAAATCTCGGCTTGTCTCACCTCTGGTTTAATATTATATCGTTATAATTTTCTAATTTATATGTACAAAATTCTAACATGTATATTTCATTATTTGCGGTAATGTATATATATACGTATGGATCAGTGTGAAATAGTTTTACCTATAAGCTATAATTAAAAAAGTTAATTCCGCAATATTTATGAAATAATCGAAGTATTCTCTAAGGGTCATCTCTGCAATCAAGTGGAGGGGTAGATTACTCACAACGTATCTTATCTCTTGATAGTGATGGTAGGTGAGACTATGCTTCTAAAAAGGTGTGGTGTACTACTCGTTACGTGAAACCGAAGGGACACCGTGTCTTTCTTTCATAAAAAAGACTGCAAAAGTGCAAAAGTGCTGGGTAAGTTATTTGTTTAAGAAAAATTTGCACAACATTTTTTTATTGCAAAATATTTCTAAAAAATTTTAATGGAAATATTAATTTGAAAACCTATATCTTCCATTTCCAACAGTTCAGAAGATGATTAGATTATATTTCTGGATTATTTTATTCAATCTCGGTAAGCAATTTATATTATTTCAAAAATTTGTAGCACACTAATTTTACAATATAATGTGTTTATAAAAGATAATTATGAATACTTGTGTAAAGTGTTATCTGTATTATATTTTTTCTTTTATATAATAATTAAACTTGAAACATTTTTATATCTTCTTAGTATTCTACAGAAATTAATATAGTGATGTAATGTTTTATTTTAGGCGTTTTCGCACAAGAGAGTGCATATCAAAATGTCGAACCGACACTTCAAGAATGTTACGAGAATAGATATCTTTTAGAAAAAGATAATAGATTACCTCATACTTTGCATACATTAATCACCATTATTCGAAAGATCGAAAACGTAACAGATGGCTTAAACATGGATTTACGAAGTGTAACTGTTGCCATTTTACACAGGTATAATTTTTTTTTTTAATAACAGTGTCATAAAAGATGTGTATTCACGCGCGCGCGCGCGCCGCGCGCGCGCGCGTGTAAAAGTTTAAACTATTAATCAGACAAAAAATTTTATGTTTGAACTGTTCGAACAATTCAAATCCAAAAAGAATGAGCATCGAGTGCGGACAGTTTTAGACAGTTCGAATAGTTCAAACTCCATCTTTTTGCAAATAAATTTGCAAATAAATTTGCAAATAAAAGTTTGCAAATAAATACTAGTTTAAAAATTGCTGAATTCGGCAATTAACCTTTTATTTGAAATCGTAGGTATCGCCAAGATGGGATAGTAGAGAATCCAGCCGTTTTACAACAATCCGGTGTATTGCCTTACAGACTGAGTTACCAGGGTCAAAAATATTTGCAAATACGTCAATTTATAACGCAGAAAGTCAACCAACTTCCTTACAACATAATCACTGATGTTGAAAGGGTCAGCTTAATAGAACTTAATATGTAGAAAGTATTTTACTATTTTAGCGCAAACATAAGGAATAGTTGGAATTTTCGAAAATTAATATTCCACTCTTGGTAAAAATAAATATGTCAAAAGTTGAGAAAAATTATAAGATATGACATATTCTGTACGAATTTATTACATTCTTATAATTCCTTAAAAAATTTTATAAAAAATTCCAATAGATTTCTGACAAATTTTAACATATTCTATTGCTTTAATTTACGAACAGATTAACAAAGTAGAATATATAAAAATTTGTCAAAATCTATCAGAATTTTTTAAAAATGAGAAAATTTGAAATTTTTTAAAGAAACCTTAACAAATTCGTACAGAATATGTTATATCTTACAATTTTTGTCGAATTCTGATAACTTTTAACATATTTATTTTAAGAAATAGCTAGAATTGTGAAATTAATGTGTAGTAAATGTATTATTTGCAGTGCACTCTTCATTTTATGCTATCTAGCAGTATCGAAGTATACGAAAGGCATGACGAAAGCATGGTATGTAGATATGCCGATAATGCGTACAGAAGTGCAAGAAGTGTAGGCCGCAATCATTCTACTAACGCGAACTCTGATATCGATCGTGATGTAGAAACCTTAACACCTGAACAAATGTAAGTTTAATATAAGAACGGTAGAATAATTACACGAAAATAATGTAATAAATATAACTATAAAAATTCTCGTGTCGCACATACAGAGACATTATCACAAATCATAAGAATGGAATTACCGACGATGGGGTTGATCCAAATGCGTTGTATCCGGAATTACCGCCGAATCACCCGAAAATCGCTCGAGTTCTCGCATCGAAGCCAAGAAGCAAGTGTCCTGTAGAAAATGGAGTTATTAAAACCGAGTAGATAGATTTTATATTAATTTTCGTATTGATTTTATTATAGAATTTTCAACATAATGGGGTTTTGATCAATTCTTACAGCTGGGGTGCAGTTTCTATCGGGTCAGTAATTGCTGGGATAGCTGCTGGATTGCAGCCCGAAATGGTGAAACTTGCAGATGTATTCCCCAATGAACCACCAGAAAGGAGAGCAAACCTATCAGAATTAGTGGATAACAAATGGCTTGCAACTGTGGCTGGTAATGACACATTCATTTTATTCTTCTCATGTTAATATTCTGCACACAGGTTTAGGAAAAAATTTCAATCAAAAATTAACACTAAATTGATTAAAGCACGGTGCTTGTCTCTTTTTATATATTACGTTATTTTAATAATCAAATTATTACTTAATTGTTGATTATTAAATACATTGAGAAAAATTGCTGCAAACAGTTTATATTTTTATAGGCGATTTGGCCGAAGTTGTTTTAATGCAAGGGCCTACAAACGAGAAACTCAGCGTGGGTTTGAATGGAAATTGGAATTCGTCAGCTCTGCCTCGTTGGTATTTTTTGAACTCCAATGAAAACTCCAATGAAAACTCCAACTACAAATTACAGTTCACCACGGCGGAAATCAGAGGAGATCTCGACGGATTAATTCTTGCTAACAAAGTGGAATCTATATACACAAAAGTATCCACTTTAAAACTATCGCAGATTTTGGATATGTATTACAGTCCTCGCGGATTCCTTAATTCCTCAATAAGAGCATGTAATCGAGGAACATTATTCAAAACTGCTGATTTTAACTCAACCATGTCTTTGCAGGTAATTTCATGTAAAATATTATAAAATTTACTAATTAACTCTTTACGGACGGGCGTCTACTATAAAGGACACCTCTTTGTATTTTTGACACTGCTCATTCGATATTCATGAAACGCCTTAAAGAGGTATTTGTTAATACTTTATTCAAATCTAGGATCAAAAATATATATATACAACATTCAAAATGACGAATTTAATATGGCGGATCAAATATTTTAACAAAAATAATCGGATTATCTTAAAACTCGATTTTAGAGGGTTCTTAAGGTTGCTGAATTCAAATAAAACCTCAGAATTTTTAAATTTATTTTAAAATGGTGGATTCAATATAATAAAACAAATTTTTAAAAGATAGTCGAGTTATCTTGAAATTCAATTTTAAGCGATTTTTGGAATTGCTCAATGCAATCTTAAAATTTTGCAATTTATATAATATTTGAATTCAATGATTCCAAAAACTACCTAAAACCGAGTTTTATGATAATTGAATTAATTTTTCAAAGTTTAGTCCGCTATATTAAACTTGCTATTTTAAATTTTGGAATGCTAAGCCACAATCGAATTCAGTGACTCTCAGAACTTTTAAAAAACAAGGTGTATTTTGTTAGAAAGCTTCCGTGTTCAAAAAGAATTAATATAAAAATATCACAAACGCAACATAAATAGCTTTAAGAGTTTTAAAAGCCACTCAAATTTTGATTCAAATTTGTACTTGTGTAGGCGTATACTGCTTCCTTAGTCTTACGGGATCATTTGCATACAGCTACAATACACGACAAGGTAATAGAAAAATTTGCAGTAGAAGCGGCGAATGAGCTATCTGGGTATGTCTGTGAGTATTTAACACATTTTGCAAAAGTAAATATTTTTCTATAATGAGCGCGCAATATAAATTAACCTATAACTTTTAGCATCTTCAATGAATAAGGATTTATCATGTCACGACACAGACACGACAAATTTCATTGATAATGTTCAATTCGCTGTTGATCTCACAATTATTCTCGACACAACATGGCCTTTCGATTGGATACAACCAATTCTTGCGTAATTATAATTTACATGCAAATATAATAAATTGCCTTGATCAAGCATAATTCTAATATAACAAAAATATTTTTTTATTTCTTTATCAACAGACATTTATTGGAAAGTGTGAAGATAAGTCGGTACAACAGTCAGGTCACAATTATGAATGGTCTTGACGGTAATATTATTATCAATACCACCAGTAGTATTTTAGATTTTTATTATTACAATGCAACACGTTATAGCAATGGTACGTATATTATATTTCTAACATGTGCCAAATAATTGTATTTTGCTATGAATTGATATGAAAGTAAAAAGTTACTTTCTTTCTTCAGGTACTGGTTTCAATCTTCCTAAATCACTTGAGAAATTACGCACTCTACAGACGAAAAAATTGGAGAATGAACGCCACGATTTTGGGCATGCAAAGTCCGATATAGTCTTAATTATTCCATACACATCATCTCTTAATAGTGCCGATAAGAAGTATTGTATTGAAGAGATAAAGACGATGCAAGAGCAAGTTCCAGGTAAAATTTCGATTTCGATATTTGCCTCTTATAGAAATTACGTATGTAAGATAAAATTATAATTGATCCTACTCTAACAATATTCTATATAGTTTTCCAAATTACAAATCACACGGATACAATCAAATTATATGATCAAAAACTTTAATAAATAAGCTCGTAAAGCCGGAGCTAGTTTGACGTGTTCGATTATTTATTTAATACAAATGTACAGACGTTTCAGCCATTGTATTTAGCCTTTCTCACTGTACAATTAATAACATCGAGATAACATAAAACGCATTTGAATTATATGAACTAAATCGTCTGGTTTTTTAATAATTACGCTTGCAATTTATCAATCTATCGGTAAAAATGAAACGAGGATGTTCTTTATCAGATGCTACTGTGAAAATATATGGATGTTACAAAAGTCAAACGGCTATACGCGTATAAACATACATACCTCTATCATCAAAAACGTTATTTGTTTCTCAGCAATCGTAAAATTTCTTCCTATATATTTGTCAGTTACAATTGAATAATAACACAACCATAGGCGTCAATCTTGTTAGAATTAGAAATAAAATGGAGAATAATTCAAGTTTAAACTCTAAGAAAAAGAATAAATCAAAAGACACACATACCTCAACACCTTCTTACTGGGCACTCATTTCGTAAAAGAAATTTCATATTTAAAAGTTTGACGTTTAAAAAAAATTATATGATTAATCGTATTACAGATGCCACATTACTTATATTGGCATACGAATCGAAAGAGAGATGGGCAGATCTTGTAAACGATCCAGTGAATGACTTATTTTCCATCAATTCTGTGAGTCCACAAAGACCTTCATCGTCACTTGTTGGTTTGATTTCGAGAATCAAAGAGGGTAAGTATAAAATATAATTCTTGATATTTTTTTATTCTGAAAGAGAGTATAATTTTCACTGTGTCATTGCAGTTCCACAGCGCTTAATCAATACGCAATGTGGAGCCGATTATTCTGTTACTGGATCCTCCAATTCGTTTATCGATTATATTGAGCCAGCTACTACTGTTTTTTACAAATTACACCCTAATTATTTCTTCTCTAGCGATAGCAGTCATACTTCTGTAATAAAGGTAAAATTTTCTTTATGCAGAATCATAATTCAAAGTATTATTTTGAGAATATGTGTTATGAACAAATTTATTTTAGATTGAAGGGTCTGGTTGGGGTGAGTTGAAAGTATGCACGTCACGAAATCCCATCAAGATTAATTCGACTGAAGATGCAAGTGTATCGTGCGCTTCGATAAACAGTAATATGCATACCGTTTCGTTTTCCTGTGACGATGTTGGCTTGATACACCTTTGCCAATCATTTTACATGTCAATAACTGCCAATTCATCAGTTACTAATTATCAATGTACAGGTAAGCACAGGTACAATTGTATAATAATTTTAATTCGAATTAATTTTTTGCAACAGTTATAAAAATTTATCTTTAAAGATAAATATTTTTGTGCAAAATAGATGCTATTTAATAGAAATTTGATTATCTAAGTGAACGTTTTAATGAACAAATTTAAAGTTATTAAATGTTTCGATATTTAATCAAATTAGAATTAGTCCTTCCCTTTCTACAGTGTTTTTAATATATTCATATTTTTAGATATAAATGTGTGCAGATTCCCCCATATGATAAAATACACTGTTTCCTATGAGAATTTGGAATGTGTAAGTAGCGCAAGTATAAGCATGTTGAACATTGTTGTTTTAATCATAAGCGTGATTTACACGTTTTTGTAATGCACGATACAAAAACGTTATCTAACGTGACCGTTTTAATGAACAAATTTAAAGTTATTAAATGTTTCGGTATTTAATCAAATTAGAATTAGGAATCGGTTGTACATATTACACATATTTAGTACTGCATTTCTGCAATAAGCCAACAATATTTTTACAAATATTTTGTAATCATTCTTTATTTTTATATATATAAATAATGCTAGAAATATTAACATAAGAACGTATATAAAATTTGCTTGCATCAATAAATTGGTTTAACATAAGCAACAGGTGTTGTATCTTTAAATAAAAGGTTTACAGAGAGTCACTGTATGATCCACTCCACATGCAATCTTTTTCACTTGAGCTCCTACTGCAACCTATTGAGAGAAAATAGCCAAAACTATTAAGCAGAACCTTCACATTACTCATTCATGTCCTATTACTTCAATCTTTTATGTAATATATTATATTTATAAAATAATAATCAATTTACCCTCAAAGGAAAAAATTGATTTTCTTTGTGTCCTAATCCTAAGGATCCAAATTTATTGCCACCCCACATATACAAATCTCCTTGGTTGGTTAGTGCTGCTAGTTGACTAATCCCACAATATATCTTTGTTACCTACATATAAAAGACAGATTTTTTTTATCAAAATATAAAAGCTTTCTGATTTTTTAACGCATTTAAATTAATTTAATTAGATTAAATTACCTTGATATCACGATTATACACATTGCGGCCAAACAATGTAGGAGGAATCATGGTTGGTTTTGATACTTTCCGCACTTCAGGTCCAAGACCGAGTATGCCATATCCCCACACATAGACATCACCAGCATCTATAACACATATACAGCATATTAGCTACATATATTAATTATAAAACAGAAATTAATATAATACATTTTTCATACAAAGCAAAAAAAACGTAAATTATTAAAACAAAATTGATAAATTATATATTAATACGCACTGTTTAAGACCATGCAAAAGCATCCACCCGCTGCAATGTCTGTAATATGTCCCATTTTTTGATCCATGTTTAATTCTGTAGCAATATTCACTTGATAATTGTCGTCTTTGGCTGGTAGCTGTCCATATTCTGAATTACCCCAACCATAAACTTTTCCTTTATCTACAACAGAAATATTTTTCAGATTTTAGATTTTGGTGATTTATATCTAGTTATTATATGTAATTCAGCAAAAGCAAGTTCTTGCGTACCACTAAGAGCTAATACGCAATCAGCGACACAGGCAACTTTGGTTATATGCTGCCCTGCCAGATCACCTTTGACCAAGCTTGGCCGATGTTCATTTCGATAATGTGCAAGGCCTGTTTGTCCATCAGCACCCCAGCCAAATGTATAGACTTCACCTGTCTCTGTTAAGAGTATGCTATTATATAACAGTTAGTGAGAAAATTGGGAAAATTTTGTGAATGTGTAATTAGCATTAGATTAAAATTTCATACCTATGATCTTGACCAGCTGTCACTGCAATAATTTTGTTTCCTTTAACGTCGGGTATATGATGAACAGCCATGCTCTTCTCATAATTTTCATTCAATATAATTGGTCTACCGCACTGGCCATATGCGTTATTACCTAATGTAAATAAACCCTCTGTTGTTAATATTAATAAATGTGCTCTTCCAGCAGCCATGTCTGTGACTTTTGTCAAAGTATTTTGCAGCGGTAAATTTATTGGTCTCGGAGTAAGCACCAGATTGTCAGGAAATTTTTTATCAATTACATTGTAGCCTGCAACATAAAAATAAATTGTAATAAGATTCTCTATATCAAAACTTGTTTTCAATAAGGTGGAAATTTTGCTGAATAATTTTAATCCAATTAAACCGGTTTTTAATTACCAAGTTGTGAGTCTGTGTTTATTCCAGTCCCATAGACAACGTTGTGATCCGGAGAATTTACAGCGTACGCTGTAAAACCGTAGCCACAAGCAATGTCTACCACTTTATGCTGTTCGGCAAAAGATAACCTTTTCGGCTTTGCGAGACACAAGATATCTTTTTTTAATACTTTCGGTTCTCCAAGAGCACCGTGCGATGCAAGCCCCCATACGTATACCCTGTGATCATCCTTTTGACTTGTAGGGTATTGGAAAACTGTAAACATTATTGTTATTTAATGTAAACATCAGAATTGCACGCAGTGTGCGTAATTTACGCATAAATTCATTTTCTAACTTGGTAAGGTTTTGAGTTCAGGTTCAGGCTTCCTAGGAATGGATTTTTGATTGTCTAAATGTAACTTTCTAGTTCTTGCGGCTTGTTTGAAACAACTTCTTGCTGTGCTAAACATTGCTTTTCTGACAATTTTTCAGGTACAGTCGAGTCTCGGAGTCATATATGCGCGAAAATTATTCAGCAGTTATTTTTTGTTACAGCTTATATTTTGTGTTCCTAGATCAGCGCGAATTTATATCAATCGATGCATACAGTAGACACGTCAAATTCAGTTAAATCAGCGCGTGGCGCGTAGCGCGGAATCTGAATATTTTGTCACGTTCGTCCAACATGGCGGCTGATAAATAGCATACGCTCTCTAGCGGAAGCGATAAATCCTACTCAGCAGACGCTATCTAGTAATAAAGATCTAGAGATAAAAGTGTCGTCGTCACTCCCTAGAATTGTCTTACACGACAACCAATCAGCCTTGTTTATTTGCAAATAGTGGTACATGATTGGTCGCATTACTTCTTGCCACGCGGCATGCCTATCGCACGCTGCGCGCAGGAGCCACATGGCGATGCTTGCTCCGAGCAAAGGTAATGAGCATACGTCAGTTGAAAGTGCGCCGTGCAGCCAAGTGTATCAATGAAGATGGCATTCGTTCATACAGCTGCGGATCGTGTCATGTGGCGGACGGTCTAGTTACAATTCGTGGCAATTGCGCGAATGAATCGGCAGCCATTTTTAAACTGCCCACTTACTATACAGTGTATAAAAAGGATATGGATAATGGACCTTGCGTTTCAAGATAGCAATTTGATACGAATGAGATTAAATGAGGCGTGATTATTAGCGCAGAAGCGAGGATAGGGCGAGAGTAGGAGAGCAACGTGACGACGTAGCGTGTGATCGTTGTCGGCGGACAACGGGCAGGCGGACAGCGGCGAAAGAAAGAAAGAGCAAGAACGAAAGAAGGAGAGAGCGAGGCTCGCTGTTTCGCGAGTGCGAGCAAAACGGACGACGGAGTCGAGCGAGCGTACTCCTGCGCCCGTGAAATTCGATGCAACGGTGAACTGTCAACATTCGACAGAGCTCGGAATATGCTTTTGAGTCCTTACCCCGTATTTTCCGTAGGAGTGAGAGCGCGCGGCGGTGCAGGCGATCACGATCGGTCGCGTTGAGTTGCGGGATCGTCAACGAGGGCCAGGGTGAGCCTCATCCCGCACCAGGATTCACGGTGGATCGAGAGGAAGAGAGTGAGAGAGAGGAACCTGGGGATCGGTGGGCTCGAGCGTGTGCACGACGATGTCGGGTCTAACATGCGAGAGGACGGATGCAACGATCGTGTCTCTCGAATGTTAAGTCCCCATAATAATGGCAGATAATGTACACAGAAAATCGCACAAGCTGTCGGATGGTAGTAGGAAAATATCGAATCCAGTACACCGTACGACCACGGAGACGATCCGTCTGGGGGAGATAGATAAGCTGCACCATCCGGTCACCCTGATCACGCCTAGCAACGTGCAGACGGCCGGCAGCAACCAGTGCAACCGGAAGAAAACATCGTCCTTCCAGATCACCAGCGTCACCGTAGGCTGCCGCATGAGCAATGACGCTGGCGAGGATTCCAACGATGACCTGGACGAGTCGCACACGGAGGACAATTCTGTGGAGCACTCGCGCATCACCGACATCGACATCGAGACGCCCAGCTACTCCGAGGACACATTCTCCAAGGAGGACGTGTTCTTCAACACGAGCAACGCCGCCCTCAGCACGGCTCCGGTGATTCCCACCAGCTCGCAATACGGTCTGGCCATTGTACCCTCCGAGGGTGGCAATGTTAATAATTCAGTTAACGATAGCAATATCAATACTCTGGACATTACATCCGTTACCGACAACAACATAATCAATTTACTGTCGAGTAATGTCAAGCAAGACGCCGATTTGCGGGAGGTTCACTCTCACGGTAGGAACGAGAGATTCAAAGTGGTTAAGATTGAAAGTACAGAGCCCTTCAAGAGAGGACGATGGACTTGCATGGATTACCTGGACCACACGTCTGTCAATCAACCGACGGCGATTAGTACTCCCAAAGTGTCCGATCCGAACGAGGTGTGCATATCTTACGGAGTGACCGACAGCGGTATCGTTGTACCGGAAGCTGCCAAGCAATCCGTAGTGACTGATGATATAGGAATTAATATCGACGCTAACGGGCCAGTGTCGTCTCATCCGGAAACGGTGCACTCGTCGATCGCTGTGTCGAGCAACCCTGCGCAATCGGTGCAGAGTGCAAATTATGCGGTAAACAACTCAATACCTCCCAATGTACAGCATAATCCTACGCAAGTTCAAACTCAGGCCAAGGTGCAGCCGTCTGCACAGCAAATCCCGCAATACTTTCAATCCCAGACTCAGTCGATAGCCACTCAGCAGCAGCAACAGCAGCAGCAGCAGCAGCAGCAGCAGCAGCAGCCGACGCAAGGAGGCCAGGGAGCCACGTTGCCCTCCAATCTGCAAAGCACTCATCCCAACAACTTGGGTCAACCGCAGAGCATGCCTCAGGGTTCTATTCCTATCATAACACAGACTAGCAATAGCACAGTGACGCCTCAGCCCAACATCCCTCATTCCAAGGAGGAGACGTACGTAACGGTGAGCACGCAGAATCAATCCCTGCCGGTCCAGAATGTCTGTCCGCCTACGGTGCAGCAAACGTCAGCCCCGACGTCCCAGGCGCCCAACATTCTCGTCACGCAGCATCAATCGGACGCAGCCTCCTGTCAGCAGCCCGCATTGCAGACGCAGAAACCGCAGATGACCCAAATTTCCGAGCCACTAACTGCCATACAGGGGATGCAGGGCATGCAGAGTATCCATAAGGTTCCTCAGACGGCGGGGGCGCCGCAGCCGACCTCGTCGACGATACATCCGTCTGGAGCGCCGGTGCAGTCGCAAGTGATTGCGCCCTCGACGCAGCAGCAACTGCAACCGCAGACGTCCAACAGCACCGCACCGGTGCAGATTGCGCAAGTTGCGGCCGGTTGTCAGAACGTCGTGGGCGGGCTGCAGCAGGGGAACATCGCATTTCATCAGTCTGATCCGGAGCAGGAATCCATCTCTGGCATCGTTGCTAACGCCACTACTGTTCAGTCGGCCGACGCGACCCTCCTCGAGTCATCATTGGCTGAAGTTACGCAGGGAAGCGACGAGCATCGTACCCTCGAGGATAATGAAAGGTACGGTCAATTTCATCACCTTGCAAAGCGGATTAATCTCGCGAACCTACGAGTGGTTGATAATTGCTATTTATAAGTTGTAACGATACTCTCTCGAAACTCTTCGTACACATATCGTTTTTCAATGAATTAATATGAATAAATCTTTATCGCAGTATGTCGGGGACTAGCGCTGTGGCGATTGATAACAAGATTGAGCAGGCTATGGTAAGAGGAATATAACTGTATAATAAAGCCGTTTATATACCGCTTGTTAACTTGATGAGCGATAATGAGCGGAATGCATTGTGGTGTATTTTCTAGGATCTGGTCAAAAGTCACTTAATGTTCGCGGTGAGGGAGGAAGTCGAAGTACTGAAAGAAAAAATAGCCGAGCTTATGGACCGTATCAATCAATTGGAAGCAGAAAATTCATTATTAAAAGCACACGCAACTCCGGAAACTTTGGCTCAATTGAGCCAATCGACAGCAAAATTGCCCCAAAACAGTTCAGGAAGTGGTCAATAGGTAAACCATTGTACATAAGTTTCTATCGATACTTTGTCAAGTAAATAATGAATAATATAATTATTGTATATATAACTTTACGATTTTTAGAAATTTATAAATAATGAGATTTATTATATTATATATAAATATATATTAGCCTTAGACATTTTTTTTAAGTAAATTAAAGATATAATGGATTATTTTTTACTATTTCAGTTTACCGTTTAGGAAATATATTTAAAACTGTAAATTTGAATTTTCCTTTTCAAAATGGTATCGAATCATTTTGAAGGTGTATATCGGTATGATTCTAGAGACAAAAAACTGAAACATATACGAATGCATGCCAAGACTAAGCAGCGCTAGTGACAGAACTGACATTATTTTACATTTAGAAACACGATTTTCTTAACATGTTAAAATAAGTACGGCAGGATAGGCAGCTTTTGACATTCCTAGATAATTTTTTTTTTCTATCGTTTTAATGTTTAGCTAATTTAAATTACAGATTCGATAAAAAAAATATATATATAGAGAGAGAGTGTAATTGGCAAGAGAAACGAAGATTAATGTTTAATAACATTTTTCAAGTATTGCTTATATTACGCGACGTTTTAATTTTTAATAATTCTCCAATCTCTGTGTTGCTTGAAACAGATTTACCGGTGGTAAATTTTGTCAAAGTTTGTCACTTTTTAATATCAAATCTCATGTTTTATAATCCGATATTCGTGTTGTAGTCTGGTTTTTAAAGTTTATATATATATATTGTAATCACATCACAAACCAATATCCAAGAAACTTATTATTGGTGTGCATAAAAAAAACCTGCAATTTCCTGTCATGATCTTATGTTACATTTTAAACATGCCTAATAAAACATTTTTAATTGTATCAAGATTGTGGGAATTCTTGATAAGATTTTAATAGCTTTTATATGAAAAAAGAAATACATTATACATAGATTATATGAAGATGCAATTACGATTACGCGCGAAAGAATTTGTTATCAAACCTGTATCGCTCGAGCGGCACATATGTCAAGTAAAATCCAAGATAGGTAAGTAAAGTCTCACGCTTTTAGAGAAAAAAAACAGCCTTTATAGTTTAGAGAAAATTTTATTTGTTCGCTATAAAGACTAAATATGACACTTTATATAACATAAAGTTTAAGAAGATGAAAACCATTCTTCTGGAACAAGAAATTCATAATCCGTAATTACACCTTATAAATTTATAAATGTTAAAAATTTCTTCTAGGGAAAAAAAATAACAACATAACCTCGGTCTTGTATCGTTATCAATAATGTGACTCTGTTTTGTACACGTACAAACATAGTCACAACATTAAGTTCATACAAAGCCAAAGTTCTTTGATTTAATAGCGAGAAGTAGTTTGTGTCGTAAGACATGACGGGAGCTGTACAGTGGAACGTATAGTCGGGAGATACACGTATTCGCGGTCGGTAGGTGCGCGTCGTCCGCCGGCCGGATTGTCACGGTCGGCATCGGCTGGAAGCCGTCCTCGCTTGCTGGTAGCGCTGGAGAGCCGGTCCAAAAATACACCTGTGACACATACGCATATAATCATTAATTCATACATATTAACCTTTTTCGTACACATGAACTTTTTATCAATGTCAAAAAACCAACTAAATGTCACATGGTTGACGGCAACTACACGTTAAATACTACAAAAAAGTGAACTTTTTATGCCAAATAAAAACCGATATATCGATATAAGATATTAAGATATTAAGAGGATTAAGGAGATTTGCTAGATAAAATAATACAACAAGAATTATTTTACACACCATTTAAAGCAATTTTTAATGTCAAATTAATTGGCTATTTTAGTTTTTATCAAAATTTGGATTTTATAAACAGGCACTTATGGGCGTCATGCGTAAAAATATCATCATTAATAAAAAAAAGTTAAGTTTAAAGCAAAATAAGCATTTAAAAACATATATTATTTTACGTATATGAAAATTATATTCAAAAACATGTATTTTCATATAAAACTGGTCAAGTTTAAACTTCAGGGCATACAATCTAACAAATTTGCGCATTGTTACCGAGTTTTATCAAAAATTTGTATTATTTTAAACTAATTTGTCGGTGTTTTTGTTTATCAAAATAATATGCTTTATCATACAAGCGTCAAATAAAATTATATATCTTCATTTTAAATAGTTACACATAAATAAATATAATATTTCAGATTAAGAAGTTGGTATCTAGCCTCTTATCGCCCATCCCGCAAAGTACCGAACAAACCTCCTTAACTTGAAAGAATTTTGCAAACTTATAAAAGCTGATAAATTTTCAAGCAAAAATAATCGGTGCGAAAAACGACTTACCAAGTCCTGCCTTTCCACATGTGACATTTTCTCAACGATGGACCACAACCAGCGCTTAAATTTCACTAATCTCTCCGTCGACTCGCCTGATTCATCATTAAATGATGTGTACGATATCAAAACTGATACATTGATGTCGCCAACTCCGTTCAAGAGAAGTCGCAAGTCCTCGGAAGTTAAACCGTCAAGCGCTCCATCGGGAAGGACGTCAGAAACTCCGGCGCGCATCGAACGCAAAGCTTTCTCTTGTACCTTGATCATGCGAACTTCAGCATACTTCCGCACATAATCATACACGTTGCTTGCAGTCACTTCTACATCACGACCGTTAGGAATAAGTTCAATTGAGCCACCTCCTTCCTCGGGACACAAATCAATACTGAAATGCAAAGTGATGATTTGAGGCGGTGGCTTAAAAATGCAGCGTGAATAAAAAGAAGAAAACAAAAATATATCGAAAGAGAGAAAATTATACAGCGAATTGTACCTGAATGTAAGATCCAATGCGGAGAATAAACTGTTACTGTCTTTTGTTTCAGCGTCGATTACCAGCTGTCGCAAGCTCTCGTAAATGACAGAGTCGAAAAATGCAAGATCGTGGAAACGTATAGGTCTTCCTAGGATATATTTAATTACATGACGATTCAAAAATAGCGGACAGAGCTCGTTTTGTAAGAGACACAATCCTATAAGTCTGCGGACATAAATAGATTTCGATAACTTTGATCTCATCAAACATACATATAACGCGGAAAGCACGTCGTCACAGTTAAATCGGACATTCGAGCGAACTCACCTGCCTACATTCCTGAATGCGTTTATCCGTTCGTAACTGGCTCTGCCTTGTCTTGGCGTATAAAAACCACGTTTACCTGGAGAATAAAAAAGCGGAGCATTATCTCCGTATCATCCAAAATGCTATTCTCCATTTTCTTCTTATTCGCCGCGCATCGCTCGGTTAAACTAAATACATCGAGATCCAGCAGTGCCTCGCTGGCCAAGTCTTGAGTGTGACTGTGAATCAGTTCGAATGCCTCCTCGACCTTCTGTCGCAGTGCGTCCTCCGACGCTAGCAGCATCAGTAACTGGGCCGGCGACAATTCCAACAACATACCGGTTATTTTTTCAGCCAATGCCGGTCGCAAAGCTTGCACCTATATTAATTAAATCACAATTGTGAGTAAAATGGTCAATATATGTGCCGGTGATTATGAAAGTGGACTAAGAACAGGTCATACATTTTTTATTTCGAGATTTTTCGATTTTTGCGTTTGTATTAAAAAATATATTTTTTTTGTTATGTAACAAGATATTTTACAAAACACTTATAACGTCAATTTTTTCCGTGACTCTAAAATTTTATCAGTAGCTTGTGAGAAAATATATTTCTTGACCTCAAATAACTTTGTCCGTTTTCAAAATTAAAAACAAATCTTTAAAATGACTTGAAACAATAAAATATTGAATTTTATTCAAAAATAAGCTAAAAACAAACATGTCCATTTACATTTCATGATTATAATTATGTTTTCATCGATATTCTAATTTTTTTTCTTCTTTAGTAGGGCTTTCAAGTATGAGAACTTTAAAGTATTTGTAACATTATTTTATATTATATTATAGAAAATTTATTTATCTGAATCGCTATCTGATGACATAAATAGTGAGAAAAAGAATAAGTATTTTTCTTTTCATAAAACGGAAGTTTACCAGAGAGCAAGTGACTTAGATGTCAAAATAAACATCAACTGAATTCTGAAAACTGTCTGACGACACAATTACCAATATCATTAAGCGATTTGATGTTCAGCTGTTTAAAAAAAAAACAGTTGCTCCACTTTATTATAATGTAGATTCACATAACACAAAGCAAGTGATAAATGAAATGTTTTTAACAAGACGTGTGTACCTTGGGATATAATCTGTCGCCAAGCTGTTGCTGATGCATAGTTAAGTGATCATTATTGGGGTGATTGATCGGCAAGGGATGACTGGATGATGAACTGCCAGGTGCGGAACTATTGTTGCTTTCGATCGCGCTCGACGGGTGGAAAGAACGAGCGTCGAAGGACAAAGCCCGACGTGTCTCGCGACACTTGCCGGAGGAGCGTGTATTCTAAAATAAGATTGAAATAATTCATATGATAAAAAAATCAAAGTCTAGTCTCGATGTTTGACGTGACATACCTGTCGTCTGAGATCACGATCGCGATCCCTGCTTTTCAGTTTCTGTAATACATTGTACTGCGTGTACTTGGAACCTACTTGCGCCGATTCGAGATTCGGAAGTTTCTCATTCGCGAGCAATGCCTGAAAATCACATTGATGGGTTACACTTGATCTTATACTCGAGATGACTACTATTTTAGATTTTACGCACTTCAGCAATTGCGGTATAAAAGCTCCGGGTAACGCCGGCTCCTTCGCCAGGTTCGTCCTTGAAAAAGACTTTAACTCGATTCACTGCCAAAGGCGGAGTGTTCGTGGCTCTTCTGTTGTATATATTGTATTGCGTATTTAGCTCTTTCATTGTCTGTAGTAATAGCTGTGTTCTGTCTCGTTCCACCTGTCGAGTAATAATTTAGTATACGTAGCTATATTCACAGCGCTTACAAGAAATATTGTAATTAGATTTGTAGTTAATTTAGAATGAAAACTAATCAATCTCAGAATTAAGTTTTAAAAAGCTTTTTGTTTTCTCACAATCAATTTATTCAATATCAAAAATATTTTTATACTTATATCACGAACTTTAATATATATTTCAAAAGAAAACATATGAGCTATTCAGAATTATTCGACATTCAAATCGAATGTGAAGTTAGCCCTCCATTTTTCAAATACATTTATGTTCATTGCTTGGAAATTTTTTTTTTTAATATTGGCGAACTCTAAAATTTTTCGAAAAAAGTCTGAAACTCTAATCAGAACTCGAATTTTTATGTCGTGCTAACTTTACATATCGTAACCACGTCGGGTACGCAGTTTATGCAGCGCGATGTACCGTAGCGCGGTATTGACGATTCATTTTTCAAAAATGCATTTTTCAAAAATGTGATTTTGAAACATAACAAAAATATATATGATATAAAAAATCCTTCAATTTTCGTCCTTACAAAAATTTTGAAATTTGTAAAAATAATAACAAGGGATAAGGATAAATAAAAAAAATGACATTTAAAAAAAATCCAAATATGTGATTATAAAATATTATACAACTTTTATCTGAAACATTGTTTTCATATATCTTGTTTTGACGATAGTCACTCAAAATCAAATTTCCGTTTCAGCTTGTAGGGATTGCTTCAAACCCCTAAACATTTAAAGTCGCAAATAAAAAAATACATCTCTTATTTTTAGCTATTCTACAAATTTCAAGCCCATCACAATCGAAGGGAAAACACTTGCGTCACTTTTCTTGTCTAAATTTACACATCCTTCTTTCTCAAGCCATCGCTTACCTTAATAGTGATATCTTTTTGTTGCGAATTCCTAAGTTTTTCCATGTCTCTGCGGAATTTCGCTTCTTTCACAGGAAATCCTCCCAATTCAGACACTACAGATCCAGCTTCTAGCCCTACATCTTCCATAAAAACTCGCCCAAATAAATCCAATGACAATCGCCATCGTCCTAGCAAAATGTTATGTGAAATGTTTGTCCCGATTGATGATACCGCTCTGGCCGATTCTACTGGACTCGTCTCAACAGTTTCGTGAGCTGATATCTCATGATTTGTAGCTGCTGGATCCACCTCCTCGGACACGTTTTGGCTCTCGACAGTGGGAACGACCAATATTTCAGGCGCACCAGACTTGCTCGTGTTTGATTCCTTTAGAGAAGAAAAATGGTGATGCGGCCAATAATATAAATATCGAAATATTTGATATATTTCGTATAAAATAATCACGATACTCACCGACACTGTTCCAGCTCTAACTATTACACTTCTATTGTTTTTGCATATGTCTTTGCCTTTGGTGCTGGCCGCTGCGTCGCTCTGATTATTCGTCGACACTATGATCGGTGCTCTATCAATCTGCTCCGCTACGAGGGACGAATAACCTTCGTTGGCATGATTAGAAGGTTTCAGTTTATCCTGAAATATAATATATGAATTAGAAATTTGTACAGCATTTCTTAACCTCTTCAAGGATACATATTGTAAGGGAAGATGAGATAAAGATTGCGTTAAATGACTGAGATGGCAACAAAACTTCATATTTTATCATTTTTCTTCAAGTCCCTTTTTGAATATTTGTATGTAATATTTCATAAGTTACATTTAAATTGGAATTTTAATATGGGTAAATAAAAATAAGATAACCTTAAGCCCATTACACAATAAAAAAATAAGAAATAAGGAATAGAGAATAAAGAATAAGATATTCTTATTCTACATTTCTTATCTTTCCATTATGCATTGAAAGGCAGTATTCGGTTTGTTGGATTCCATTATTTCTTATTTCTTATTCCATATTTCTTGTTCTTTATTCCTTATTTTTTTTGTGTGTGTAATGGGCTTTAATGGATTAAAATGGTTAGACCAGCGAGGTGAGCAAAAAAATAACAATTGGAAATAGGACCGGAACATGAAAAAACGTTAGTGACATAAAAAGCACATTGTAAAAATTAATTTTGCAACTAATTGTTATAAACAAATTATTAAAAATTAACTGTAGAAAAAGTGATTGCGCCAATCGATTGTACGGGAAAAAATACAAAAAAACATATAACTTTTTCTTTAATTGTTCTTTGTTTATGCAAAAAAAAAAAAACATTACAGGGTTGTTGAAACTCCTGCCCATGGCTAGACCAGCGAGGTTAGCAAAAAAATAACTGTTGTATATAGTGTTGTATAACTGTATAAAAAAATAACTGTTGTTATATATTTTTTCTTTTCTTTTGTATTTTTTCCCGTACAATTGATTGGCGTAATCACTTTTTCTCCACAGTTAATTTTTAATAATTTGTAACAATTAGTTGCAAAATTAATTTTTGCTTGTGCTTTTTATGTCACTAACGTTTTTTCATGCTCTGGTCCTATTTCCAGTTGTTATTTTTTTTTTTTGCTAACCTCGCTGGTGTAGCCTAGCTTTAATAGGTTAATATGGGTAAATACAAATAAGATAACCTTAATATTGTCATGTGAGGTAAAATGGATTTAAATATGTATTGTTTTGTATTTTATTGGGAATATTTTCGCTGATTTGAAAAATATTTTATGGACTATATGATTTGATTTATTGTTTGTAGGTTTATTTTATTCTGGAGAAATAATCAATCGGTAATATATAATTATCAAAAGTCGACAAACAATCCAATTCTATTACATTAATCGGTTTACTTTTTCTCTTTAAAGCAAAATTAAAATACCTTTTGTAATTCTTAAAGATGTCTATAAATTGTAACAGAAAATATGATCGATGTAAATAGAGTGAGGCAAAACAGACTAAGTTTTATAAAAATCTGAATTCTTAATTTATGCAAGTTTTGAAAATTTAATATTATAATTTTTTATAATAAATATTCTAACGTTTTCTCCTGCAAAACTTGAGCCACTTTTTGCCATTAAGATAGAAAATATGGCCATTCTCGTTTAGGTAGTCCATTTTACCTCACCTTCCCCTACGTTTAATTTTATTTAATTTATAATCGAGACAAAAATATGAAAAAAATTACTAGAAATAAATATTCACTACAATAGAAAAAATTGATACTTTACAAACAATATATATGAGAAAAAGGCTAATGGAGCCATCGCTGGTTGTTAGTGCGAAATTTTTGATGTTTTGTATAGAAACTTGATTCATCTGCATTGACACATTAAAATGTACACTGATCTCAGATTCGAGATACTAAAGTGTACGAGAAACTTTCATATGGAAAATTTCATATGAAAATTCTCTTATATTGACTTTACGAACAATTGTTAATTATAAATAAATTTTCAATATAATAAAGAATTAAATTTTTTACAGCTTTAAAATAAATTTGTTCTTGAAAAGGTTAATGTGTGTGTAAACAATGAATATAAAAATGTACTCAATATTAGATAAAAAATTACCCCGTATTTGATGGAACTTGAACTCAGTTCTCCAGCTGAGACGGAATTTCTTCTCGATTCTAAATTGGGATTGGAAAGTGGTCCTTGTACAACCTGGCTAAACGTCGGAGTGACGACGTTGTTTTGACTGTCCGTTAACCCCCGCGCAGAGAGGCCTAGTCTGGTTGGTAAACCTTCCAGAGGATTTTGACTAGATCCACTCGCATTAGAAGAAGTCGGCTGTCTCGGGATGCCGAAGAGATCTTCGCGCCTCGAATGCGGCTGCAATAAATGCGGCTGATCGGCTAATGGCAGCGCCTCGCTCATCACAGTGTCAAATGGATCGAGAGGCGGGCAACCAAGGCACAAGGTAGAATCTGATCTCTGCAGGAAAGGATGCTTCCTCCCTTTCGGCGTCGAACTATTCTGATTTCCAGATCCGCACATGGGCACTTGAAGTAAATCCGGATAATCCACAGAATCTGTCTCCATGGCAGTTGGCGCTGGCGAATTGTACTCTTCACTTTCGTCATTGTCATTTTCATCCTGCAAATAACATTTTCGTGTCAAGAATGGAATTTCGCATAATCATAGTGAATTTATCTTGCGATGCTGTAACGCGTGAAAATATCTGACGATGCTGCATTGCCATTTTATGATCTAACATTTCTTGCGACATAAAAATTGAAATTTAACACAATTGTATCACAATTTTAATACTTGCTGTAATTTCTCTGTAAAGGATAAAATTGGCAACTGGAGTAATGAAATTTCACAAACCTGATCGTTCCAACTGGAATAACTGGACGATTCCTTTTGAGTTTCTCTCGAAGCAGGCGGTTCCGAAAGAGAACGCATGTAATATACAAGTGCGTCGAATACATAAGCGACGTGTCTCAAAGCGGAAACGTCCAGAACCGGCAAACTATCCCTGTGCTCGCTGTTGTGGGCACGCATTAAAGATAGACAATATGATAAGAATTCACGCCTCGCCGAGTGTGCATCGCCACCTGAAACATATCGCAACATCGTAGTTTCTTTTGTAATTTGCCAAAACTGTCAGCTGTAATTGTCAAGAGCTCAATTGTTTATCTTAGAACCTGATAGAAACGTGTACAGCAAAAATAAGAACTTGTAATAAGGCAAACCTTCGCGCTCCCTACTGCTTCTCGGAGGCTCGCCAACTCCTGCAAAACCAACGGTGAGTCGCGTTGAAGCTTGAGGAGCGGAGATATTCGAGCTCGTAGCGATACCACTGCGAGGGTTCCGACCTGTATTTCCTTGTAGAGTCAACGAGAGCGCAGCTGTGTTCAACAAACCGCTGAAATTACCGCTGGACAAAGACGGAGCGTTATTGAGAGGATGTTCAGGATGAGTCGGATCTGCGCTACGCGTCAGAGATACTCCGAATCTCAGCTGCGCCTCCGTAGCGTCCATCACTGTAAGCAGCCAGTCCCAAGTAGGCTTCAAGTGAGCTTCTAAATATGACTGCAACGTGAAATAATTCCTTACTCTCGGACTTGTGAAAGCGATAAACTTCAGATAAGGCAACGCGCGTTTTTGTCGAAGCACAAAAATGATTAACAAACTATTGTAATGTTTTAGCCACAATTTCGGCCACAAAAACATTTTTGTACACGCGCCGACACAAAGTAGGCGACAAATTGAATCTGTCAATATTTTTGAGTTCAATCCACTTTCATAATTATCGGCACATGTCGAATTTAGTGGAGTTTACGTACCTGCAAACTTAGAGCGTCTTGAAAGGTGATCTCCATCAGTCGTGGCAAGCTAAGTTGTAGGCTCTTATAATCTTGCATCATAACCAATAGATCGGCGATTTGTCGTATGACAATTCCGAATGCTCGCGCCAGGCAACTAGCGGTGGTCCCCATGGTTATAGGTTCTTGCGCGGTCGCGACGGCCGACGTGGCAGTGGTTCGTCTTAAAGATGCAGGATCAATGAAAACCAGATTACTTCCACCTGTTACCCGTAATCCCGCCGTACGCGTACTCGATTCACGATTGCGTATCGCCCATTGCATATACACGGGTGCGAGATTATTACGATGCAAATGAGCAGACGATCCACTGAAATAACATGTAAGCGATTACATTTCCAAGTGCCCCACATCAGGGACACCTCGAATATTCTTTCGCTCTTATCTTTCTTTCAAACCGCCCTCATTATGATATAAAGAGGAAAGCAAAGAATCTGACAAGACAGTGGCATGGGAAAACAAGATTCGGGCTTACCTTCTGCGCTCTAATTGTTCGTCGCCAATTTGAAACTCCTCGTTATCTTGCTCATCCGTTTCCCCCGCTTCGCTCTCATCGTCCTCTTGCTGACTCGACTCCCCGGACTCGTCCTCGGGGAATAATAATATCGATCCCATTCCGCCGTCGGAACCGGCGGTCGCGCCGGTCTGCACGCTACGCTGCGCGGACGCCGCGTCTTGATTACTATGATTGTCATCCGAATCGGACTCGGTTTCCGCTTCCGCCAAAAGATCCAATTCCGTGTCCGATTCACCGTCCCCAGCTTGTTCCTCGCCCACACCACCGGCATTCGAATCAACCTCGCCGAGCGGCTGACCAGCAGTGGTCCCAGAGACGCCCGATTCCTCATGTTCGCTAATATCGCCGTCCATATCCATAGGTACTTCTATGTAAACAACAGTAGTTTCATTTGGAGAAATTTACTTGCTAGAATCACTGTATCCCTCCCCGATTTTTACCTTCTCCGCCTTCCGTTTCATCAACAGCGGATACATCTCCTCTTGAAATTGTTATGTTGTTATTCGCTTGCTGAGTTTGCAAAGCCGCATCCAGTGTCTGCGAACTGACACCGCTGTGAGGTATTAGAGGCTCTATAGAAAATAGTTCCTCCGAGCCATTGATCACTTCAATGGCGGAGCTCGTTAGCGTGAACGGTGCAGTTGGACGTGCCACGCCTAGTCTGACCGGTGCTATCAATGAATCCGCTATTTCGCACAATTCTTCCACAGCTAATTTAATTAGTGCTTGGAAAACTTTCCGACACTTCATTAAAGGCTGCGAAGCTTGGCTCGTACTGGAAACGAAAAACATCAAGTTTTCAATACATTTGCATATTAATATTTAGATCAAAGTTTGAATTCTAGAAAATTACAAAACTTGTGTGTAATTCTATTTGTTAGGAACGTAAAAAGATAAATGTTAGAATACAAAACTCTCACCTTCGCCTTTTCGTCGTGTTTGGTGCCATTTCTATGGTGAAGATAACGAATATGCGTGCTACGGATCTTACGAATCGACGCGCCACATTGTTCGCTTCTTCCTGTCGTCCGGGCACAGTCTCGTCTTGCAATTCTCTGATCAGAGTCGTGAGCAATGTATCGAGCATCTGTGGAATTAGAAAATTTTTTTAGCGTTTTGTATAATCTCTACAAACGAAGGAAAATATTACGTGTGCTTTTCCACTCGCTTTCACTCTGTATCTACTTACTTCAGCACTGCATTTAACAAGTAAAGAATGCGTGAATTTGTCTAGTAATGCGGTACCACTCTGCCGACACAACTGTCCTTGATCGCCGAATAATTGATCAGTGCCGTTTTCAGAAACGCCCGACATAATCATACATTGAACAGCTGGCCAATCATTCAACAATCGTTCAAGCGCCTTCCGGCTGAATCGAGGAGGTTCTAAATCGTGATCTGGCATGTCTGAATCTGCACCCAAGCCTGTAAAAAGAACTACGTGCTCTTAATAAAATAATTATATGAAAAAAGCTACATGCTTTCAATAAAATAAGTTGTGTGTAAAAATATAAAGATGTAAATTATATGAAAATTACAATAAAATATAATTTTTTTAAATAGGCTCTTCAATTAATGCAATAATTCAACAATCTTTAAAAGCTAAACAGAGCCGGAGCTAGGATTTAGCGCTCCAATTTATTGTTTTACATTTACATGACAAACAAACGTTTCGGCCAACGGATTTGGCCATCGTTGAAATGACTAGGTCATAAATTATGACTTTGGATAATTGTTCAATTAACATGTGTATAAATATCGATTAACATGTGTATAAATATCGATTAACATGTGTATAAATAGAATATAGAAAGTATATATACCATCCGAGGTGGGTGCTTTGCGACTGGCCGAAGTTGATCGCTGCCTAGGCGCCGATCTAAATTGACGTTGTTCGACCAATTGCCTTCCAACCGTTTGCACCAAGAATAACAAAATGCTTTCACCTCTAAAACATAAAACAAACAAAATATTATTCGAAAAGTGAATTACATTTTCACCATGTGTAATCTGCGTGTAATTTACAGAGCCCCGAATTTACCGTGAATTAATTTTTGTAGCGAGATCAGTACTGTTTACGAGACGGCACAGCAGATCGTATCTCGCACCTTGGTGACCAGCAATGAGAGCGCGGCATTTACATTTCTCCCAACAATCGCAGTACGCTGTGGGAGAAGTTCTCTTGAGCTTGCAATCGTGACCTCTGTGGCAAACACGGGCGCATTCAGTGCAACAGCACAGAGATCCTGTTAAACCGCAAGTTCTGCATTCAAAAATGTCCTGAAAATACAAATAAATACATAATAAAAAACATGTTGCGTATAACACTTTCCTCTTTGTAGAGCAATACTTGATTTTTCTTCAATACTTGATTAATATGTTCAGCTCCGGTCCATGTGAAGCTACATGTATCGTTGCAACAAGTAACAAACAGTGGCGACAGATCTGGGCTGGCATCAGCTGGCAGTATCATGGCAGAGGTGTCTTTCGCATCTTTGCCTACTCTTTGTATAGTATCCAATAAAATAAGAGCTGCATGATACGCGCGAACCGATACGGCGAGCATGAGCGGTGTTTGTCCTTGAGCATCTCTTTTTTTTTTTTTAGAAGACAAAACGAGAATACATAAGAGAAATATTTCATAACTACTGAAAGAAAGTTAACCTTTTCCGGACGAAAATACCTCTTTTTATTTTGGAAATTACTCGATTTTCGTAAAATAGCTTATTTATTGATTCTTTATTTAAAACTGAGATAAAAAATATAAAATTTAAAATGACATCCAATATGACAAACTAAATTTTTATAGAAATAATCAAATTATTTTGAAATTCGATTTTAGGTGTTTTTTAGAGTTGCTGAATTCGAATATAATCTCAGAATTGTGAAAAATAGCGGATTCAATATAGTGATCCAAATTTTTAAAAATAATCGAATTATTTGACAACTCGGTTTTAGGAAATTTTTGGGTTCGCTCAATGTAAGCTTATAATTTTAAAATTCGGACTCTTGAGCGATTCCAAAAAATTCTTAGAACCGATAATTTTCATGATAATCAAATGTTTTGAAATTTGATCCGCTATACTGGATCCGCTATTTAAAATTTTAAGAATTCTAAAATCACAATCACAAATTTATTGATCATAAAAACCTTTAAAAAACAAGACTTTGTACAAGTTACTTTTATATATGTAATCTCAATTTCTATCCTATGTGACAAGTTTTATAGGACCATTGCAGTAATGTATTCTTCTATTTTGCAGAGAGCAATTTGACATATTGAAAGAACGACAGGAACCAAAATATACTTTATGCCAGAAAAAAACTCTCGTCCGGAAAGATTATATTCTTATAAATCGAAATTGTAATCTTACTTTGCTGTTAATAGTTCTCTTAAATGCGACGTCAAAATATTACTTTCGCACATATATTTTAGTATGAGTAATGCATTATGACGTCTTTCGACAGAATCTATAATGTATGTATTATTAGATGTAGCTCCAACATCTGAAATAAGTAACATATATGATATACAAAACATTTATATATATGATCACCTCAGAGGTATACTAAGTCAAGTCACATAAACATAATTTTTCAAAAGAATCTAAAAAGATTTTTCGCTTTTCATACGCTCTCAGTAAAGTACTTATGTTTTGCAGATTTTTTTATATTCGCAGATATAATATCAAACTTTGATGTGTTTCAAAAAATAAAGTTGATTATATGATTTTAATGTGACTTAATATTGTTTACCTGGTGAATATGATTAACTTTATACAGTCAACATCTCTATTGAAATGAAAATATTCATTGAAAACATTTACCATTGCATAAAAATTGTAGTATAGTCTTCTGATAACAATTTTCAAAAAAATGTGACTTAACATAGTATACCTCTGAGGTGTTCATATATATAAATACATATTATACAAAAAATGTATATTATATATATATATATATATATATATATATATATATATATATATATATATATATATATATAATATGATTATATATATATATCTACACTAATAGTGAACATTTTTATATTTTATACAAAAAGATATATATATAATCTTTTTGTATAAAATATAAAAATGTTCACTATTAATGTAGAGAAATATAAATAGACATCACAAAAATACTTACTAGACTTATTCATCATAGATATACTAGCAGCACCTATGCTCAACAGACTGTCTTCCTCTCCTGAGGTATTGTCAAATGCTTCAGGCGGCCAACTTAATGTCGGAATTGGCTCTTCAATAGGTGCTGAAGTACCATCCACTGCATTAGATACTAATTCGCGTTCAATCACTGTAATAAAACAAATACAAAGTTAATTAAATGCATATAACAACATCACAAATGAGAAAATATTAATTTTTACTGTCTTTATTCAATAAAAGTATTAAAATTGCCACGCCAGATAAGTTACCTTGCTCGGTTTCTTTATTGGAAGTTGGCGAACACATGTTGACACAAGCATGAAGTATATTACGGTTCCCGTCGCAACGTTCTTTCAATATCATTTGAATTTGAGAATTTGCAGTTGAAAATGTCAAATTGCTCTCTGCAAAACAGAATATATTACACGCTGTAACGGTCAAAAATTAAGATTACACATATCCGAACACACTTACTCAAATCTTGTTCCAGATTACAAAATACTTGCTTGACGCTCTCGTAATCACATCGCAATATACGAGGCATGAGCAAGAGATTGTCGAATGCTAATGCGATAACTGCAACCTGATTTTTTAGATTAGTCGAATTGGAACAGCTGGGAATAGGAATGGTTGCTGCACCGATGCAATTTACTGGAACTAAATCCAGCCAATTTGGATCGCGTATGGCATCAGCGCAATCTTTCGCGACCGGGTAAATAGTATTATTACCATCTCGTAGAATCATAGAGCATTCTATATTCTGAAACATTCAAAATTCATTTTTCTCTCCCAAAGACTTACATTTGTTATTTGTGAGTTATTAATCGTTTTATTTGTAAATATTGTTATAAATGCACATACCTCCCCTGCACTTGTAAGATTAATATTTTGCGGTTGCAATCCCAGAAATGACGACATATCAGAGGGAATATAATAATCTTGAACATATCTTCCTGTACTTAAATTGTACACGACGTAACTCAATTTATTTCCACTTTTCAATATGGCATGAATACCTGTTAACACGTATTTCTTTATTAGTTCGAGTAATCTAATTTTTTTTTTTTTTTTTTTTAAATAATAGAGTCAGAATGTTGAAGATTCTCTACGCCATATATAGAGTGTCCCGTGATTCGCAAATCAAAATACTACAGTAGAAAAATTCTCAGAATACCAAATCAAAAGAATGGATAAAGTTCCGAAAAGTTCACACCTCCGATTTGCTCCAAACTACGCTTTTTATTGTATTTTTGCGCGCTGATTACGAATATGACCATGCCGATTGGCGACAAGGTCATTTTCAAAGTCAAAACTACTTAAAAACACTCAAAAATTATCGTTTCTTTTAACATTATCTTGATAAATATTGATGTAACAAAGAAATGTTTCAAATAAAAGTTGTAGCTCTTGAAAAAATACATCATCTATGTCCTATGCATTTTTTGCACAGAACCAATATTTTTCGGAAAAAATGAAATAATGCGTTGTAAAGTGTATGCGTAGATTCAGTCGCCCCCCCCCCCCAATCCTTCTGCATAATGCGGGAGAGGTTTCTTTCCCTATTATCTCATTTTTTTCGAAAAGTATTGGTTCGAAAGGTATTAGTAATCAGCGCGCAAAAATACAATAAAAAATGTAGTTTGGAACAAATCAGAGGTGTGGGCTTTTTGGAACTACACCCAAAAGAATTTTTGTCTGTAATTTTTCAATCTAATCAATAATTTTTGAAACTCAAGAGTTTAAAATCAGCTAATCAAATTCTGTGAACAAGCGGCAGCTTATCTGTGAGTTGTACATGACGACATTGGTGACTCACAAACAAGTGACTAATCTCTTCAAGAATCTGGCATATGTATACATTTAGTTTTATTTAATTCAATGATAGAGATAAAGGTATAATAAAAATTACTGACAAATAAATACTCACTACGACATTTTCCAGAAGAAAAGAGATCGATACTTGACAAACAATTGTTAGATAATTATAAATAAATTTTGACTATAATAAAAAAAATTTGTATTTTTTATAGCTTTAACAAATTCCCTGAAGAGATTAATTATACAACCTAATAGGCCAAGCTTTTTTAGCTTTTGTATTTCAAAAACTACTTACTTGAATTAAGAAATTGCACTTTTTTAATAGCGTTTTGAGAACTTTGTGCTATGCTTTTATTTGCGAATTACAAAACACCCTTTATATATAGATTAAAAACCTCTGCGTCTCTATCTTGTTATAGATCTCTGTTTCTCTTTCTATGTATAACTTTTTGAAAAAAAATGACTTACCTTGTCCATCAGTTGAGATAGTCAGCAGACTGTCATTTGAACCTTCTACTATGTTGACTCTTCTAGGGGTTCTTTGAAAACAATCCGGAGCCCGTGGATTTGATGATGACTTAATTACCTGTCAACGTGCAAATTATATTTTAAATGCTTAATTATACGTGCTGTGTATGATAAATCAGCATGATTATTACCTGAACTTCATCTCTACGTAAAAGTCTGCAATCTGCTAACAACATCATTGGTTCTTCTGCAATTGGATCTTTGAAATCTGATGTATTGAAATCCTTCTCTTTAATTTCCTTTTCCTTCTCTCTTGAATATTTTGGAAAGAATTTTACCGCTACGTAGCAACCATCAACTTTTATAACTTTCCCTATTAAAATTAAATAATAATATACGTTAATCTTTTTCGAAAAGAAATTTGTACATTTCTTTGTACAATTTTATACAATTTGTAATCCTACCGATAGGTCCAGTCTTGACGTCTTCAACAAAAACCACATCTTTCAACTGCCAATCTTCTTCATCCTTTCTGTCAGATTCTCCTTCGCTTCGAGGTGCCATACGTTTTTGCCGTTCTAAAATTGTTATATTTTTTAAGAGATTTCATAGACTAAATACAGAAAACATTTTAATAATATATCCTTCTTTTCTCTCAGAACTTTTACACAAATAACGCGTCTTACTGTGACTCGTCGTGATGCTACCAGTATCGCTACAAGTGCTCGAAGCCGGCGATGGAGGTGGAGGCATGTCAAGTCGATCGGTAGTTTCCTTATGATTCGGTTTGTTCACAACTCCTGTATTTCCGTTCCCGTTAGATTCCCGTTTATCGGCGTTTGCATTAGGTACATGTGTACCAGCGGGTAATATTTTAAATCTACAAGTGGCATCTACGTTCCAAGCCGCTGACAATAATTGGCCCACTTTTGGTACACCGTTAGCTATGGTGAATCCTTTAAAACAAATCGCATACACATTTAACATTCGCAATACAAGTGTCTCATAGCTACAAATCCACTTATTACGTCCAAAGCATGTAAGAATCTTACCAATCGCTCCCGGTATATAAACCGGACTATTTTTCATGCACACATACGTGCCGTAACCAATATCGCTTGTTAGCACAGTAGATGGTCTATGCTTGCGTGATTTAGCTTTGTATTTTTCCCATAATTTCTTACGTTGTGCAAACGGCAAAACGCCCCTGAAAAAGATGGATATTTAACAATCTTACCGCGCTAGAGATTTATATATAAAATCAAAGTAAAAATATTATACTAACCACCAGTATAATGTTCCACTTTCAAGTCTCGCAACAGTATACAACGCGCATGTATGAAGTGACACAATTTTATCCGATGTAAATTCGGTAAAGGCTTGTGCTGGATGTTCAAGACGAGAAGCAACATGTCCTAAAAGTTCGTCGAGCCAAGTTGCCACCTTTCCGCTTTCCGTACTAACGGAACATCGAATTGCGGTAGCAGATATATTGACTATCTTTTCTGTTGTCAATGCCAAAGGAATGGTTCTCGGATGATGCACGTTCGGATTCTACGCAGAAATACGAATATACATTTTCATAAAGATATTTCGTAAAAATGTGCAACAAGAATGTTTAACAATACCTCTGCATTTTTGTATGGTTCTGACTCTGTCCATTTCCATTGGTATAATTGTCCCGATGCTGATACGGCAATCAACTCGCTGTAAAGGGATGCGATTTGTACGAAGCGCGGCACTGGATCGTTACTGCGTTCATGCCACCACTCTAGCTCTTCAGATATCCATAGTGGACTCTGCGAGGCCAACTCTTTCTTCTTGTTGTCTGAAATATTCAAATATAAAGTTATCTTCTCTATTTAACAAATTACATTCAATTTTTTTTTAATTTCCATATCAAATACCTGAATCTTTTTCCCATGAATCTTTAAGAGCATTTTCCAACCAGCGACGCGGTCCGTAATATTGACGATCTCGCCATCTGCTAAAACTATCACGATCTCTGTCTCTTTCATGAGATGAACGTTCACCTTCTCTGTCATTGCCCAAGCGGCGCGAAGAACTTCCACGGCTAAAAGTAATACTTTTTTTAGAATACACAATACTCTATTAAATATACATAACCTCAATTTTAGATATCTTAATAAACACATTTCTAAATTCATATTTTATATGCATATATATGTATGTATATGTTTATTAAGTATCTCAAAACTTAGTTTTAAATTATATACTGTCTTATTCCGGTGTATCCAAACATGTCTTCAGAAAACATAGAATCAGCGTCAATTATAACCGAATGTTCATTACTAAAGCCACCATCTAGTAGTGATATAAGATCTTCTGGGACATAACTATCCGCTGCATCCTCCGCGTCGTCACCTTCTTCGTCTTCTCGTGACAAAAGATTGTTTACCGCTAAATTTACATCTAGATTTGTACGCTGCAACAATACAATCATTTCATGAATTAATTTTGTCTCATACTATTATTATGTATACTCTTGTTGTCAGCAACATTAGTATTCATAAACCTGTAATTCTCTGATGATCAAATTACGACTTTTTCCTTGTAATACCACTTGTGCCTGAGATATAAGATCTTCTGGTACGAACGGTGCAGGCACAGATGCAATGGGCCGTGAACTGCTGCCACTTCCTCCCCCCATAATTACTCCCGGCGGTCCTATACGACCACCGCTGCCGCTTCCTCCGCCACTGCTTCCTCCGCGAATTGCAGAACTGCTACGCATGATTCTTGCCCGCGATCGTGACATTGTTCTACTACCACTACCACTACTTCCATTCCCATTTGGTGCAGAATTAGAATTTCCAACATGATTTTTGCTTGTGCTGCAATGAGGAATATAAGATTTTTTTTTGTATTTCTTTTTTACAAAATTATTTTTCTGTTTCTTCTTTTTTACTTACTTTCTATTAGGTTCATTTTTACTCAAATCCAATCTATCAGGTAGTACAGTAAATGCAACTCTGCATATTCTATTGTCTTCTGTAAGAAGAGCAATATGTGTTGGTCCGACTACGAGACGCTTTATTACTACTTTTAGAGCATTAAAAGCAGGAGGTGTTACAAATCCATATCTATTTATTTTGTCAGCTACTTCCCTCAGCCTAAAACAATAAAAGTATCTGGAGTAAATAATCTTCTTAAAGATTATAATCAAGAGTATCAAATGTCTGTTACATGATATGTACATTTATATACAGTATTCTAAGAAATAATTAAATATTTTCAAAACAATTAATAAATAATTCGTAGAATATGTAAAGATCAGTACGCTATTAATATTCGTGTGAATCATATTAGTATTGTAAGATTATAATTATTTAACATTATGTTTATAGGTTGCCATTAAAGTGAGGCATCATGTCGCGGATACATGGTCAAATGTGACGTATATTCATCGCGCGTAGATATGCAAATATATGCAATAAGATAAAGAATGAAAAGAATTGGATGTGCACAACATATTGTAGTGCATCTTTACATGGCAGAAATGTGTTGAAATAGGAAAATTGGAATGCATCTAGAATGTTAAAGAATTCGCTAATGGGAAACCGATAACGGGTGGGTAATCCTCACCTATCATTGAGTTGGTCATCTGTTCCTGGCAAAGGATGCACGACGAAGTGAATCGAACTCATAATGCCTTCAAATCATATGTGCTATTCAATATCGGGTCGTTCTTTTATTATACACAAAATTTCACTGCACCACAGCAGAACGATATTCAGCCATGTTTTCGATGAAACATCCAGTTACGTGTTCTCAAATGCAAATATGGCGTGGTTGCTCAACGCGTTTCTAAATGCATCAAAACTCTTCATGATTAAAACTTGCTTATATAGCATGCACATACGTGACGAGAGATATATCAATTACATCTCGTGTAAAACAAATAGCGTTGTCGAATAAACGGATTTCGATCGATCTAAAAGCGATCAAAATATCATTGTATTTTTTCCGCCAATAAAAGACACGAGTTCCTAGTAAAATAGTGATTGATCTCGGATCAAAACCTGTTCAGTTAAAAACACCAAAAATATGTTATCAATGCAATCTTTATGGGCGGTATTCATAGGGCGGTATTCATAGTCCGTTCTTATGGCCGGTTTATGCTTCGGTCTTAATCTTAATCTTAAGAGTTGATAACGTAGAATGCCATAAGGGCGTTTATACTTCCCTAGTCTTAATCTTAGTCTTAATCTTAATCTTGGAAAGATCCCATCTTTTAACTTTAGTCCCTAATGTCCTAAGGCCGGGCCAATGAGGTAAGTCTGACGTCCGACGCAGCACGAAACCGCGCGAAATAATGGTTTTCGATTCTTGTAAAATACAAAAATGAGTGATGCTGATTTAATTGAATGTGTCCAACAATTCGATGTTGTTTGGAATAAAAAAAATCCAAATTATAAAAATAAATTAATGGTTAGGTTTTGTTACATTTGCACATGCGTAGTCCGAATTTCCAGGGAAGCATAAACGAGTCCTTAAGATTAAGTTAAGACTAAGACTAAGATTAAGATTAAGACCGAAGCATAAACCAGCCATTATATTCAAAATTGTCTTAAGCACGGACTTATATTCGCTCTCTTCGTTACACATAGATTGTGTCTGACAAAGAAAGCGAATATAAGTTCGTGCTTAAGACGATCTTGAATATAAGAACGGACTATGAATACCGGCCTATATGTCCAATTGTAATATTTTATTTGTTGTATAATAAATTTTGGATTATTAAACATATAGCGTTTTTAATTGTACGGATTTTAATCGACCCAAGATTGATTAATAACGTCATTGGCTTAGTTTACACCGATTGTTTAGTACGCGTACCAAGTACTAAATCTGCTTCTTTGATTGGCGTAGATTTTACACTAAACGATTTATACCTATCGGAGAAGCAGATTTAAGGTCTGTTCTTTATAGCTGAACTGGCTGCACTAGTTCAGAGTTTATCTTTCTCCTTTCAATATGGAGAGAAAAAGATAAACTCTGAACTAGTGCAGCCAGTTCAGCTATAAGAACAGACCTTTAGTACTTGGTACGTGTACTAAACAATCGGTGTAAACTAAGCCATTGCATCGTCTCCACTAATAAAAGACTTGAATTCATAGTGAAATAATTAGCGTTTTCGATTATACGGATTTTGATCAACCCAAGGTTGATCAATCACTATTATACTATGAATTCATGTCTTTTATTGGTGGAGACGATGCAAGGACGTCTTTAATTATCTTTGAGTCGATCAAAATTCATTCACTCAAAAACGCTAATTGGTTGCGTTCAGAAAACACAATAATTATAAAACTGTTGCAGATCCAAAAGTATACACAAATCACAAACGGTTATTACCAAACGGTTTCACAACCGTTGTGTTTTCTGAACGCAACTATTTTAATTATTTGATATCGAAAAAATAAAAAAGTTCGATTGTAAACGAGTATTCTAATATTTATAAATGTTTTTCATCTAATTTCTGGGCTAAACTTTTCTTTCTATCACTAAACTCATAAATTTAACCAAAAAATTCATTAAACGTCTTGAAGTCTTCTCGGGATCAGACAATAACTACTCGTAAAATTTTTATTCAGACTCCATTCTTATTGTAAAAAGCATTATCTAACAAGATGATTTATTTTATAAAGGCAAAAAAATAGTATTAGTCTAAAAAAACATATTTAAAATTATCATCATCTAAATACATTCTTTTATTTTATACGCTATAAAGAAAATTCTATCTATAAGAAAATTTAACAGTAATTTCAACAACATATTTTTAATTTATTTTAAATATATAAAGACCACACTATCATACATAATGTGAAGAATCTTCACATCACGACTATCGCACATCTACTTTTGCTTTATTTCACATCAGTCTGTCGAATAAAAGCGGCATGTAGTACCAATGTAATATTACAAAGATCAGTTCTGGAGACAATTCAAGTGTATAAAATGCTTTGCTTTTAGTCAACATTGAGTGTGGCAATTTGATTAGCAGTACATATAAACTTCAGTTAGATGTAATTCCATTTAATATACAAATTACAAATATTAGTGTAAAAATTTCCATTTTTACGCTCTTATTTCTAGATTTTATGCTAAAAAATTTTTACTACTATCACAGGGATAGGTAAAGGAAGAAACTACTGAAATACTCTACTGCATTAAATTTAATATAGTAAAAAGCGTTTAACGTTCATTGTGTTTATCATAATATAAATATCTTACATTTAAAAAAAATATATATATATTAGTAATTTGAAATAATTTTCATGAATTTATTGCAACTAGAGACAGAAACAAAAGAAATATGCTATTTGATCATTTGCCACTTATATAAAAGTACCAAGTTCTGAATCGACTCCATAACTGCTTATAAATTTATAGAAAAATTTAATGTATGTGAAATGCATTAAAAAGTGTCTTGTTATTCCATAAGGATAATGCAGGAGTAACAAAGTTGGTACCAAGACTCACTGGATGTAAGAGGTAGGGATTCTTTCCCACAGTAACATCCCCTGTGGTTCTGTGTCCGAATGATGTCCACTACAATGTGAAATGTTATAACGGTGTAATACGCAATCTTCGCCTTTGTAAACTACATCCAAAATGTTAAGTAGTATTAATATCGAGGCAACATCGGCACACGGTCTCTTCAGGGTATAAGTAAGTGACAAACTCATTGTATATCTCTGCAAACATCGCTCCATCAAAGCTCCTTCAGTAAAGCGGACTTTGCGTTTTTAAGTTTATCCAATCGCCTTTGCAGATGAGAGTTTGCTGTCTCCAATTCTTCTACGCGACCTTGCGTTTCTCTTATCTGAAAGCAGAAATATTGAAACAAACTAAGCATTCATAATTTAAAAAAAATCACTTTGATGTATGCATTGACCTGTGTGAACATTTCTTTATCTATAATAAAAAAACAATATTCATACTTCTCTCTGCAATTTTCGTTTTTCCACTTTCAATTCATCTTCTGCTTTCTCAGATGCTTCCGCAGCTGATTTATAACGAATTACTTGACTTTCCAATCTAGCTACAGTTGCTTGTAGCGTAGACATATCTTGTTCCGCTTTTTGTAACTTAAATTTATAATCCGCCAACAATTTATTTGCCTCACGTTGAATATCTTCATTATCTGATAAGCAACCTGTGGCAAGATAACAAACAAGTTAACATAGATAAAATAATATCACAATTCATAAAATTTAATATTGACGATATATAAAATTTCATTTCTTAAAACATATCTATATATAAACATGAACCTAACCTAATACTGAACCAGATGATCTCTCCGATCTCACGCGATTTCTGGTTTCTTCTAATTCCAATCTTAAATGTCGAATTTCATCTTGCAATTCTTTTTTCTCAGAAGCAAACTTTCTCAGTCGAACATCTGGAACAATTATGTATGTTACATAAATGTTTTAGAAAAATTTATATTGTTTCATAAATACACGATTCAATTAACGGCGTACCTAGTGAACCTTTACCAGCCGTTTCTAATAACTCTGCAGCTTCTGTACTGACTAGTACCCTCTTTCTGTGACATGGCCCATTTTCAATATTTTCGTTATCTTCATTTTCGCTTCCTTCATCGTCAACGATAACTAAACCGTTTTCCTAAATCAAAATTTATTTCAGGTTTATATAAAAACCATAATATACGAACTTTTTTTATACGCAATATTATGTGCCATTTACAATATACATACTTGTATAAGCGTATCTCTTTCTAATAATTGTGCTTTACAAATCTCTAAATCTTCTTTTAATCTCTGACTGATTCGTTTTAATTGTTCAACATCTCGATTCTTTTCTCTCAATTCTCTACGTAATTGTGCAGTTGTTTCTTCTAATTCTTCCAATTTGTCTTTTAATAAATCAACTTGATAGGCATAAGATGATTTTTCGTTGTCTAACTGAGCATTAGCTATCATCGCCTTCCTGAACTTTTCTTCAAACTCCTTCAATTCCAGCTGTATACAAATAATAGAAAATTGTGTAATACTATTCTAAAATTTCAAAACTACGAGCAAGATTTATAAAGTTAGTTTGCAAACGTACTCTAATATCTCTGTTTAATCCTGCATCTTCCAATGAATCTTCCGACGATCTACGACTCGATTGGAAATTGTTGGAGTTTGTAAGAAGCCGCGATGTACGCACTGGATCTGGAGTTACTCTCATGGTTCTGTTTACGTCAGCTGTAATAAAATGTATACAGATAGGTATTCACTGAAGAAAGTAGCTCTATAATTTGCAAAAGTATCAACAATTGAAATATAAAATTGATAATATTTCTTAAAATTACCTGTACACATGTCATAAACCCTGTCAGCATTCTCCTCCGCCTCCTTTTGCTGTCTCTCCAACTCACGCATTCGTATTTCTCTGGCTTCCGCTCTTGCCTGTCTCCTAGCAGCCAATCTTGCTTCTGCCTGAAAGTATGTATGGAAAATCCAGCCTGTTACCAAAAACATATGTTTACATTTGATATATTATTAACACATTACCACATTAGAAAGCTCCTTTAATAACATCTATATTAGAACAAATAACAAAACAAAACGACAATTATAAATTATAAATAATTCGACGGCTCCGAGCCATCGCGGTTGTTGATGCAAAATAAATTTCATCTTTATATAGAAATTCTTCATCTACAAAAAGGCATTAAAATGTATACCAATCTCAGATTGAGATACTTGGTATTGATGATCGATTGATGATCGATTGACGAAAAATTTCTATATAAAAATAAAATTTATTTCGCATTAACAACCGCGATAGCTCGGAATCATTACATATTATTGATATTTATCGTATCAAACCTCTCATATCAATTTTTAGTTATAAATTATTTGCAGTAAAATAAGATTTGTTTCCTATTTTCAATAAAAAAACTACTTCATACATTATATACTTTATTAGAAATAGCAGCTAATGTGAAAATATATCAAATCTTTTGATGTTAAAACACCACTCGAGTAGCATTTCTTGAAAGAAATATGTAAATTACTTAATAAGCAACAGCAGCGCAAAATATGTTGCATACATTAACTGTAACATTAACCATATATATTATCTAAATATTAAAGAAAATTATTTGTGGAAAATCTCTCTCTTATTACAGATGTTAAAAAAACATTTATCTATAGCAACTTATTTATAAAATATCCTCCTCTCTCAGCATTTTATTACAAAAACAATATTATTTCTTATTATAAATAAAAGAAAACATTGTACTAAAAAATATGGAACAGAAACATCTACAAATAAGCATATGTAGCTGTACATAAGCATTATCTTAGGCTAGCAACTTTCCTACTTGAGAATATCAATCTTTTAAAATATCAATAAAACAATAAAAGCGTAACTTATTGTCTTTTTCCAACACAAGTTGATACAGAATAAAAGTATTGCAGAATGGCAGCAGAAAACCTCAATAGCAAAATTTTTATTTCTAAACACATAGATACATGTATGTACTATACAGGACAATTAAGGATAATTAAGCTAAGACAGAGAACAATTTTTTCAATTTTTGTTGAGTAATATATACCAACACCATCATGATCTTTTAGTACTACCTTACATTCGTGCATATATTATCCATTTCTGTGAAAATTACATATATTTGTATCGAGGTCATACCTCCTTAGCTATTTGATCAAGCGCTTGGTCTTCTGCAGAATGCCGTGTGGCAGTCCGCCTTCGTCCAGCTATAGCTGATTCCATTCTGTATTTCTTTCCTTACAACTTTTGTTTGAATTGTTTTTAGCTAGGAGAATCCACGTCCAACACCACACTAGCAGGTAAATGATTAGCTAAGGACAAATTTATAGACAAATATAAGCTAGTGGTTATTGGCAGGGAAACCATCGTAAACCAACTCTGCTCTGAATTTAATCATCTCTTTTTTCAGTTATTATTTGCTTTGTTTTTGAGATGGACAATTTTAATTTGCACATTTTTATATTTTATTCAAAAGTTAGCAAGTTTAGTTAACATTTGTATTCAGTTAAATTAGCAATAGTTTAGTGGGAACTTTATCATCCTCAAACTTTATTTTAAATTTAAATAAAAATGAAATTTGACCGTTCTATGGACAATGTACAGCTGTGTAATGAAAAATTAATTGCAGCACGACATAATTTTTCACATAAAATAAAAAAGAGCTATCGCATCTTTTTATCTATTCACAAAATTATTATAAGTACTTGTCATCGCCACACACCATGATGAACAGTATTTCGAATTTTTTCTAACTCGATTACACCTTGCATTTCGATGTATAACGCGATGATGATAACGCGTTTACCAGCAAAACTCGTTAAAATATCACAAAAGAATGTAATCGGATGCGCGTAAAATAAGGTCAGCGCAAAAATTTGATTTTATATACACGTATACTACCACAAGCGAGCATCGCAGACGGTACATGTGTGCGTGTATGAGTGTACATATACGAATGAATATAGCTATATATCGTTTTATGATTTATATATGATGCGCGCGCGCGCGCGCGTGTGTGTGTGTGTGTATGTGTGTGCGCGCGCGCGTGTATGTATGTGTGTGTATATATTCTTACAATATATAGCTATATTTCATCAGGACTCCACCACTCTGTTGCTCACTCATTGTGGACAAGCGCTTACGATTAAGACACGTCGTCAGCCAGCGGATGGATGCATATTTTTTTTCAGCCAAACTACACGCAAAACTACACCGGGTGTACACTATAAATATAATCGATGGAAATCGGATGACTCCGTCACAATGACCATCTGTGGTAATGGAACTTGAGTCGGTAGAATCTCGTGACTTTGCGGTCTCCGTTAGGCCTGCTATAATCTACGATCGACGGCGACGGTCACACGACGGGGCTGTGTCTCGCGATACGTGAGCTCGCGCAGGATTTCCCGGCGACCGGCGGGCCGGCGACGGGTACTTAAGCGTTAGGATTGGCGAACGCAGTGCGCGATACCGCGTTCGACCTCAGCGGAAGATACATTTTTCGATTGCTCTCGCACTCCGCACACCGCACTCCGTACCGCGAGAACAGTGATGTATGCGAAACACGCAAAAGCACACTGCGCCGCGCCACGCCGCGCCTCGTCTCGCCGCGCCTACATATACCTGAAATCGGTGGAGTCATCTCTGAAACGAAGAAAATACTATCTCGGTTATGCGTTGACTATACCGATTGGTTGCCAACGCATGCATATGGCGTCATCAAAACCTTGTGCAAGATCACATCGCGTCCACTATTTGACATCGCATCTAGTATCCAATAATAAAATTTATTTGCTAGAGATAAATGTGACGGTCGACAAAATTTCTAGAAAACATATTTTCCTATTGGACATCGGCATCTCATATATCAAACATTTTTAGAGAATTTAAAAACTCATCAGAAGAAAATAACTTGATTTGAACACCTTGATATTTGTGATCGTACGCAACTGTTGAATTTGATAGAGCGAAAAATAAATTCGAAGAAGCATTAAATGATAACTGATGTGAAAGAAATGCGCGTCTTAAATCATGACATCGATGGAGATTAAGGATGCTCTTGCATTATCCGCGTCGATTTGTACAATATTACAGTTTTTAGCTGGCATGTAAGTAAGATGATATACATAACCTTTGATATCTATTTTTCAACCATTAAATTTGAAATTATTCCCTTATTTGCTTAAGCAATTAACAATGACTCACGCTTCTTTACATGAGAATATATTCAACCATATTGTTATATATTTTATTCTTTAATCTAATACTTCTTTCAATTAAAAAACTAATTGCTTACATATCTTTTTAACTACATAATTATATATTTTCTTTCGTACTTGATACAGTCTACATTAAAATTGTACATTTTAGCACAAACTGTATGCATTGTTAAATACATATCAACATCAATAATTATTTGATATTATAAGAAATTATCATAATAATAGTTTTAAATTGTTGAATTAAACAGATTAATTAAAGTCAAAGAATTTCTTTTGTAGACTGGTATGTAAAAAATATATTAGAAATGGTACAACTGGAGATAGCTCTAGCCTGGCCTTTGTAACGTGTTTTATGTCGTACGTATTATAATATAAGAAAAAACAATTTGATATATTTTTTGATAGTTATAATGACTTCAGAATTATATTTTTATTATTGCAGTTGTAGCTTGTGGTTAAAATATGGAGCACTCATTGGAGATTTGTTTATTGTGGCTGTAAATGTTTTTGGAACATTATTACAACAGTGTTATGTACTAGTTTATATCTTATACAGTGTAAAAAAGTCGACTACCATTAAGCAGTTTATATTGGCATTTTGCTTTGTTTCGATTGTATATTTCTACAGTATTTATCAAGAGGACAAAGTTCTAGCTGCAAAACATGTAGGATTTCTTAGCTGCAGCCTGACTGTATTATTCTTTGCATCACCATTGATTTCACTTGTAAGTACAAGAATATAAAATATTATTATTTGCGCTTATTTGTTGAAAAAAATGGTATATTTTTTACTCATTTGAAATATAAATATTAAAAGTTTTATAATGGCCTTCAATTTGTTACAGGCACATGTAATAAGAGTAAAAAGTACAGAAAGTTTACCGTTTCCAATCATAATGGCCTCTATGATAGTCTCTTGTCAGTGGTTTGCATATGGATGTTTACTCAGTGACCAATTTATACAAATACCAAATTTTATGGGCTGCGTTTTGTCAGCATTTCAACTTTCTTTATTCTTGATTTATCCGAGCAAACGGGGAGAACAATATTTTATATAAATGCATTATAATTTCTGCTTGATATTAATTGATTTTATTGATCTGTATATTAATATATCTTTACATTAATATATGTATCTTATAAGTTAGTACAAGTTAATATTTAGTCATTCTGTATAACTAATTATAAATAATAATATGTTGTAAGATATTTAGACGTATCTTAATTTTATTATATTTTACTACAAGTTAAGTTTATATGTAGCTTTTTATATTGTACGCAAATAGATGTTACTACATATTAATTGTTTTATAAATTTTTCACATCAGTTTTATCAATTGGAATTGAATTTATTATGCATCATATATCAAACAAATAAAATTTAATTTAATTTTAGATTATAACATTTTCTTATTTCCAAATAAATTTTATAAAAAATCAAGTAAAAAATTTTATTTTTGTATTTAAAAATAAGGATAAAGTTCCGAAAAGCCCACACCTCCGATTTGCTCCAAATTACACTTTTTATTGTATTTTTGCGCGCTGATTACGAATATGACCATGCCGACAAGGTCATTTTCAAAGTCAAAACTACTTGAAAAAACTAAAAAATTATCGCTTTTTTTAATATTATTTTGATAAATATTGATGTAACGAAGAAATGTTTCAAATAAAAGTTGTGGAAGTCGAAGAGAGTCAAAGTTTTTCAAAATTGGCAACACGCTCAGAGATGTTAAACAAGAAACGCGAACAAAAGGTGCGACTCGAGCAATCCGGCCGAACGGATAAGACGAGTCAAGCAGCTACCGAGGTCATAGAATGGGAAGCAAAAGTTGACAGAGGTCAAGAGGAGTTCGACAATATCTCGAAGATGATAAAAGAGATCGAGCGTTTCGAATTAGTAAGAGTGCAAGATTTTAAGAAGCAGTTAATTGAGTATCTGGAATCGATGCTGACACACCAGAATCAACTTATCAAGTATTGGGAGAGTTTTCTGCCGGAGGCACGAGCAGTAGCGTAAACATTCCTCGCGTTAAAAAATCGCGATACTATAGATTTTTAATATGATAATAAGGCCAATATCTACCGTGTAAGAAATGAAAAGTAACTTCTGTGACGTGAATTCATCGTTCATCAATGTCGATGATTGCGGCGCATTTTTATCAAGAAAACTCGCGACCGTTTACACCTGAAAAAAAAAGAAACAAAGAATTAAAAAAGAAGAACGCATGCACTTCTGATCTGGAGGGTACTGCCAACTCGCCCGAAACTTTTTATGCGCAGTGAAAAGCGTGAAGAATATATTCTAATTAGACGAACTTAATTAAGAGTCAGATTTTTATTACACTTCAATTATTATTCAATACATATAGTATATTAATTCTTTATGATTACCTTCTCCATATTATATACATTATACGTAACTATACATATGAAATTATACAATTTGTTAAAGAATGTTACTGAATAATAAAATCAATTGCAGTTATATAAGTTTCTTTTTTTTCATTCTTATACAGTTTTTGATTTGTGACATGGCGCATTGTCCTACTGAAATTTTTTATTCCGCAAATCAGAATCACCAAAAATCTTGCGATATGACGGCTGTAGCGCATCTTTTAGAACGTTAATGTATCACGCGCTGTTCATTCAATCCTCGCAAATGAACATTTCACCCACACTACTGGGGCACCCACGCAGCTCCAGATCATTATGCTGCCTCCTCCGTGTTTCACGTATGCATCACATACTCTGGGTGGTATTTTTCACCAACCCTTCATCGTACATATGTTACACCAGGAGTGCCAAAGATCTGAAAAACACATTAATATTCATTATTTAAAAAAAAAAAAGTTTATGTCTAATTATAAGTAAATCAATTGACGCTAGTAATAGTATTTTTTTTTATTTTTTATTTTTGTTTTTAGTAAAATAAACGTCAAATTATACGAATCTTAAAGTTAAATTTATTAAACCAAACTATATTTGCCCAATCCTCCTGATGTGAGTTTCTGATGTGAATTCCTGAATGAATTTTGGTGTTGATGAACCCATTCTAAGCAAGACTTTGTTTTTCCCGAGAGCCAAGGTTTCTTCCTGGTCTTGTAACCTTTGAAACCTCTTCCTACAAGTCTCCTTCTCATGATTCGGATTCCAGTGTCTTCTGTGAAGGCCTTCTTCTGTGAAGGCAGCAACTAGCTCAGAAGAAGTTTTTTTTCGGTCTTTTAAAGATTCACGAATTAACTTTCAATCTTCGCGTTTCGTGGTTACTCTTTTTCTGCCTGAGCGCTTTTTATTCAAATGCGAACTAGTCTCTTCAAAATGTTTGATAGTCGTTTGGCACAACGTGAGCAGTTTTCGCAATTTCCTTCTGGTTCTTCCCTTGTCTCTTTAGATTAATTTACATTGATGCTCAGAAAGTTTACTTTTTTGGCATTTTTTAGAAGTTAACACTTTTCACTTTACAAATAAAAGGTCTGTTCTTTATAGCTGAACTGGCTGTACTAGTTCAGAGTTTATCTTTTTCCCTCCACATTGGAAGGAGAAAGATAAACTCTGAACTAGTGCAGCCAGTTCAGCTATAAAAAACAGACCTAAAGACACGAAAAATCAACACTAGTGTAGTTGCGGCAGTAGCAACGACTTATAGCAGACTAGCAGTATAACTCAAAAAATTTAAATTTTACAATTAGACTAAAGCAGATGTTTTATTACCCATTAGGTAAGTCGTCTATTATTAAAAATATTCTTTAAACATTCCAGTAAAATAAAAATTAACAATTAAATCATTTCCAAGAAATAAAGAATACGAATAAGAAAAATGAGATTGTCTAATAGTCTTGACCAAGGCTGTAGATTACATAAAATCAATGCGTACACAACAAGTATGTAAATTAATGAAACAAGGTCGCAAGTTATTTTTATCCTAGATCCGTCGTAAACAATTTATAAACTAGTATATACCTTGAACTTTGTGCGTTATTTAATCAACTGGCACACTTACGTTCACACACAGAATTGTTCAATCAGATAAAAACATTAAAAGTATAGTTGAATGTGAATTGAGTTTGCCAGCCGAATTGATAACGCGCAAAGGTCACAGTTCACGCTTAGTATGGGCAATGGCTATTGGCCATCTATTGAGATTGCAACCTTTTCGGCCGTTTTTTCTCAAACAACTGAAAGAATAATACCGAGATTTCAGATTCTTATTCTATTTATCCTAATATAACTTCAATTCTACATTACATATTGGAATATTTAAAGTACGAAAGGAGGATGTTAAATATACATAGATCGATTTTGGCCCATGGTGTGGAACCAAAACTACAAATGGTTTCTTATAGATTTCATACCGTAGAATCACGTGATAAAGTTTGTTTTCCTCTAGACAGCGGGGAAAGTACGGAAAAATTGAAAAAAGACCATGAAAAATGCAATTTCCTGAGCTGGTTGAGTTTGGAACATTCCTGGAGCGATTTTTAAAAAATGATTTGTTGCTCTTGCCCTTTTGCAGGGAGGAAGTTTCGAGACTAACAAACAAAGTACAAAAGAGACTGATCCGATACATGCGTCGGGAGACACCCTTATACCCGAAAAACCACCCCCAAAATCACTTAAACGATTCTCGCCAAGCTAAAAATGATTTGTCGCTTTTCTCCTTTTGCATAGAGGAAGTTCTGAGGCCCTCACACAACATGCAAAAAAGTACGATCCGATACATGCGTCGGAAGAAACCCTTAGCTTGGCGAGAATCATTTAAGTGATTTTGGGGGTAGTTTTTCGAGTGTAAAGGTGTCTTCCGACGCATGTATCGGATCGGTCTCTTTTGCATGTCGTATAAGGGTTTCAACACGGGAAATCGCATTTTTCATGGTCTTTTTTCAATTTTTCCGTACTTTCCCCGCTGTCTAGAGGAAAACAAACTTTACCACGTGATTCTACGGTATGAAATCTATAAGAAACCTATAAGAAATCTATAAGAAAGTAGTTTTGGTTCCACACCATGGGCCAAAATCGACCTATATTTAATATCTTCCTTTCAATGAGAAAGGGGCGGAACTTGACCGCACTCTTTTGAAATTTTGCAATCCAGAGTCATTTACATTATAGTTACATTAGACGTGTGCATTTATCGATAATGTTCTATATTTACTGTTATAGATAAGATATTGCTCATGCTGAGCTTTTCTGAAAGCGTATAATTAATTAGTAGACATATGAGCTACAGTCACTATACTTGCTCTCGCTCTCTCGCCTTGATGATTTTTTTGTGTATATGCTTGTAATAATTGTCAGGTACCTCGTAATAATTTTTTCAATATTAGATATCGCGCAAGGTTCTTTGAATAATAAAAATAACAAAAAATTATTTGTAACAATTAATTAGGTATTAAAAATACATTATTTGATTTGTGTCTAGAAGTTTTGCGTTGTAATTACATCTATTCGAAATCAATATTTACATAAAAAATTATAGAAATAAACATTCACTAAAAGATTTTATGCAGATTTCCTATTTTTTCTTGAATCTTGTTTAGATTCAATTCCACTTTTTAAATAAAAGTGTATTGTATTCATTTTTTTAAAGAAAATTTTTTAACTTCTAATAGAGTAATACAGTAAATTTTATCTCAAAAAATTTATTTCGTATATAAAGTTTTAAAATTATTTGCAATTTTAATGAAATACGAGACAAATATATTTTGCGTATGCAATAGAAACGAATTAAAATGTATCAAACTATTTATAAGATATATACAGAGGCGTTACTAGGCAATTACGCAATATACGCAATATACGCTCCAGTGCGCAATAATTTTAAAAATGTTCAAGTGCAAAAACTTATTGATTGGTCTGCGATGATTCGCCCCTATCTGACTCAATGCTATCTACTTCTAAAATTCCGTTTAATTGCGTAACGGCCAGAAAAGTATGATCTTTCTTTTTTCTTCTATTTTTTACAACTTTGCGCTGAGCTGCAAGTGAATTCCAGCGTAAAGGCGCTTAAGGCATTCATAACAGCTATAAATACATATATACATATTTAATTGTATCTCATAAAATGCCTGTAACTAATTCAAGGCTTACCTATTATTTTCTAATTTGCTATTGAGTGGGGATGAGTATATATAGAAAGGCGCGATATGAAGGATTTTAGTATACTTTCTGAAGAGATATCTGAACGTTTAATCTCTGTTTGTTTCTCTGTAAATTCCCAGTTTCTCGCAACAGTTATTAGTTATAATTAACAGTTATTAGTGTCTTCTAAACAACTTAACCAAAAGGACTTCTATCCAAGATTTTATAAACTTGCAATCTTTGCATTTCAGCCAAAAAGCAAGTATCATCTTTTAACGTAAGAATTATACTAACATAGATGAAACAATAAGAAAAATAATTTTTAAATTTTTTGTATTTATTTCAAATTTGTAATTTCTGTTTTTAATTTTGTTTTGCATGTGTAATAATTATAAAAATTTGCTTAATAAAAATAACAATAAATAATTTTGAATATAATTTAATCCGTGCATTATTTAAATCTTAAGGATTTCTGATAAATCTTTCTTTTTAAGATTGATGTACTGAAAATTACAATTACTTCCCAGACAGCACGCATGTCCAAAATCGAGACATAAGACGTTATTAAGACGCCTTTTAGACATGGTATCTAAAAGACGTCTTAATGATGTCTTTAAGATGTCTTATGTCCCGATTTTAGACATGTGTGCTGTCTGGGTTGTCATTTTAAAAATAACAATTTGGCATTAAGAATTTGTGTAGAAGCTATATTAGAATTGAAAATAGAAAAAATGAACTAAAATCTATCAATTCCTATCAATACTTTCAAAGATTGTATATTCTCATAAAGTATAGGTACTAAAGTACTGTAAAAGTATATTGCATATTAAATATAACTATTTTAATTAATATATTTTTAGTAAAATATAGCTCAAAATATGTAATAATTTCAGTTTGTATATATCTGAAATAATTTGGCGAAGAAGAACAGTAACAAAAATGTATAGCTTTGAAAAGCCTACGCTGCAAACAGTATTGGAAGACAATGGTGGAAACGAAAAGCTGTTAGAAGAGTTGTTTTACAAGTTTCAGTTATGGTTAAAGCAGCAAACTCACCTTCCTCAAGGTTCGTATTTTAAAATTAGATATATTTTTTATTGATATCAATTTATACATAATTACATTAAATTTACAGATTTTGCAAATTTACAAATTAACAGATGTTGCAAATTAAATTATTTTTAATGTGCTAACTGTAATTATTTCAAAACCTGTTACACAAGACACTTGTAAAACACGTATTAAAAATATGAATTTCGTAGCTTCTATATTTAATTATTGATATGAACTTAACCCTTTGCTTTACGATTTAATTTGTGACACACGCATATCATAGTTAGGCACAAAATTACTAACGCACCGGAACAAACAAAAATATGTTAATATGCTAATGATGCGTTTAATTCCACGAGTCAGATTCGCGTTTTTTTTTTGTTTGGCCCGTGATCCGTACGAGTCAGGGTGCCGTCACATACAACCCGTAATCCGTAATCCGCACCGGAAGTCCGCAAAAGTTACTAGGTATTTCGTCCGTAACGTTACGTGTGTTTTTATCTCCTTGTGTCCCATGGAGCCGTAAATACAGTCGTAACGGTAGTACTATTTTTTATTTAACAAATTATAATTATTTATTTGTATTTTATTCATAAGAAAACTACAGAATATATTATAATTTTAACAAAAGTTTTAATTAAATCGTCAAATTTAGTTAAATAAATAAAATTAAAAAAAGCATTACTAGTAATAATTAGTAACTTGTAGTAACTTTTACGGAAATTTCATGAAATTACGGCTCCATGGGACACAAGGAGATAAAAACACACGTAACTAAGGCACTAGATATGTAGGTATTCTTATCCGCCATTTTGGTTCCTACTAGATGGAGAATTATAGCGTATATAGTATAGCTTAGTATAATATGTTACACATGTACGCCATATTATACTAAGCTATACTATATACGCTATAATTCTCTATCTAGTAGGAACCAAAATGGCGGATAAGAATACCTACATATCTAGTGCCTTAACGTAACGTTACGGACGAAATACCTAGTAACTTTTATGGACTTTCGGTGCGGATTACGGATTACGGGCTGTATGTGACGGCACCCTCACACTTGTGTTTTCCAGGTTTGGTAATTTATAACACGAGTGTCACTCACCCCATAGCAAAACAAATCACAGTGATACCATAATGATATTTCTCTGTGACGCTCAAATGTCATAATAAAATCATAATAAATGGTGACATACGAATGTCCGCTTTATCACAGATATAATGTCACTATGACATCATTGTGATATGAAAAATAAAATAAAAATAAATTAAATACGGATAGATAGCGCATAGTGCGTCATTACATAGCGGTAAGCGAAACTAATTTATTGCTGTTTTTTCGTCTGTTATACCGATATTGGACGCACACGTATGTAAAAATAGTCGGACAAGAATATTTTTTACATTAGACTTTTCAGCCCAATTTTAATGGTTCCATAACATTCCATTCTGCAGTCCACAATTCGGGCTGCTCTTATTCAGCGTCTTAAAACTGTTAAACTTTTATAAAAAACGAAAATAGATAGCCCTATACAATATGTTATCCTAAGAGCAGAATAGAAATTAATGAATAGAAACAAATTTTGTTATTAATTCTTTTTTTCCGAATGAAGTCGAGCAGTCCGAATTCCGTCTTTCTGTACTCTTTAATCCTGCAAAAGGATTTACAATTCTATGCAACCAATAAAAAGATATTCTTATTCGAAAAAATATAATGTCCGGCCGGTAACTCCAGCATCCTCTTAAAATATTATTATATTTGCATGTTTATATGAAAATATATTGCAGTAAAATAATTAAAGTTAGAGGAAAAAATATATGTTATCTTTACTTCATAATAAAATTATAGAATGATGAGTAATATATTTGTTTTATAGCAAATCCTAGTAGAGATCACGTATTTTACTTAACATTCTGTAAAAAATAGAAAACACGCAATTTGTCCAAGCATACTAAGAATTTTTTCTTTAAGATACAAACGTATAAAAAGTATCAGCTACTTTGAAACTTTTCACTTTTTGAATAAACTGACAATTTCCAACATATTACGCTTAATCAGCATACTTTTACTCTGCTTTTACCAGAGAGAAACCTGAGAGGGGCCACGCTGCCGTTTTTCGTACGACGCTTTTACTAAGGCACTATAAACATGAGTATTCTCACGTCTGCGCAATTTTTGGCCTATTCCCCCACTCCTTGCCCTCTCGTCCATTTACCGCTGAGCTAAGAAGTAAGTAAGGAATGGGCCAAAAATGGCGCAGACGTGAGAATACCGGGAAAGTCCTAGTTGCGCACAGAATAAATCGGACACAGAAAGTTGAATGAATCGGACACAGTGTCAATCGGACACAATAGAAAACGAACACAAGATGGTTGCAGTCGGACACATAACAATCGGATACAATAGGAAACGAACACAGTAACAATCGGACACATTGAAAATCGGACATATTAACAAATGGACACACGATGATTGCTATCGGACACAGTGCCAATCGGACACAGTAACAAATGGACACACGATAATGGTAATCGGACACATAACAATCGGACATAATAAGAAACGGACACACTATGGTTGGAATCGGACACAGTGACAATTGGATACAATGGTAATCGGGCACAGTGACAATCGGACACATTGAAAATCAGACACAATGCTAATCGGACACAATAGAAAACGGACACACTTGCTGTGTCCGATTTATTCTGTGCGCAACTGGGACTCACTCAGAATACCTACATCTTTAGTGCTCTAGTAAAAGCGTCGTACGAAAAACGGCAGCGTGGTCTCTCTCAGGTTTCTCTCTGCTTTTACTATGCTAGAAAAAATGGCGACCGCTGAGTAAACATGTTAGAAAAGCCTAAAGTGATAGATGGCGTTCAACCGAAAATCTTGCAACAGTTTGTTAGAAATATATATAAGGAGGTGAGGGAGTCAAACCCGCTTTCTCGAAACAAACTGAATCGTATCGTATCAATACTATTTATTCGCTATTCCTCTTATATAAAAGACGTTAGTTTCACGCCACCGTCGTAACGGATGGGACTAGCCGCACAATAATAAAGCATGCATGCTGCTATGCGTGCATCGATTCCCCCTCCATGGATCAGGGCCGTCTCGACATCCTAGCTGCGGCGCTCCGTTGGGCTGTAGCCCGCGCTATTTGAATTTCCTTTTAGAATATTTCCAACAAGTTGTAAAGCTGCTTTTTCTGCTAAACGCAGCCAATGACTGAATACTGTTTTTGGAATGTTATAACATTTCTACAACATTTTGGCCGGTATTCATAGTTATTTCTTATATTTAAGATCGTCTTAAGTCGTCGTCATCGTCGTCTTAAGATACTAATATGGCTTTTTGATTGGTTCGTAGCATTTTAAGACAAAACTTAAGACAATCTTAAATATAAGAACGGACTATGAATACCGGCCTTTATGTCATATTATGATAGTATCACCACGACTGTAACTAATAATATCACTATAACTTTCTAATAATGTCACAGTGATATCACAATATTTTTGTGACCTTGTGACTCTATTGTGAGTCTATTGTAATATCATTGTGACTTTTTTTGCTATGGGGATTGTTATTGTAAGGCAAGGCGTTAAATGATTTTGCTAAACTGTTATTATAGATATGTATATGCAGATACAATAGACGATATTTTATTGTATTTATTAATAATTTTCGTTTTTAGTATTCTTTTTTTTATATTAATATTTAACATACCGTAATAATGAACATTTTTTGTGCTTTGCAGATATAAGCGACCAACGATTAAAATATATTATTTATGCTGCAAAGTTTGATTTCGAGAAAGCCAAGAAAAATTTGGATACAATTTACACCCTTCACAATCTGGTTCCAGAAATTTACGGCACTTTCGATCCACTTAGCGATGATATAAATCATTTTCATAAATTCTTGTAAGTACTCGAATGCAACGTAAAATATTAAATTTCTATATATTGCTTTAAACAATATTTTAAATGTACAAATAGTATTGTTAAAAAACTAATTACGATTTTATAGTATTAAGTAATAAACAATAACGAAAAGAAATGCTATGTATAACGATTTAAAATCTATTTATGTATTTACATATATGTAGTTATGTATTTATGCGAGCACATATATTTTTATTTATACTTCAGCCAATGGGTACCTTTACCAAAATTGACGCCAGATCAAAGTAGAATATATTTTAGCCGGATAACAAATAATGACGCTTCTTTGTACATTCCTTGGATAATAGCAAAGTATGTATGTAATATTCAAAGTATAGTAAACATACTATAGAAAAAATATTCAACTATACAAGCAAATATATTCTAGTAGTAGTCATGAGATTAAATTATTAGGCTTAGACTTAGTAATTATCCGTAATTATGGAAAAAAAATGAGTAAATTGCACATTCTAAAAATAAGCTAAAGATATTGATTAACATATTTAATAAGCAACAATATAAATTGTTACTTAATACCTATGTGACTGCCAAGAATAATTTCCATTTTTTTTTCAAAAGGCGCTATCCACTCAATCCATTTACAACTAATCACTTACCTCATTTGTTCCGCAATCTTTTAAATATTCCTTAATTTTTTTTAAACAAAAAATGCATATTACTTGTTAATATTAATAGATATATTGTGATGACAATGGAAGCTCGTATGGAAGAAGATATAGTTTCTAACAATATTATAATTTGGGATTCCGCTGGTTTAATTATCCAACATATATTTAAGTATACACCAACTCTATTGAAAGTAATGGATACTTGTTTGGTACGTAATTGTTTTTTTGCAATATAATATTTTATAAGAAATTGATTTATATCATTTAAACTCTCCAGGAAGCATACTGTGGAAGAATAAAAGCGATTTACATATTCAATGCACCACCATTTATTGATATACTTATGAAAATGACAAAAGCAGTAATGAGAACAAAACTTTTCAACAGAGTACGTATAAATTAAAATTGTAAAAATATAATTTGTTAAATAATTTCTGTTTGGCTTTTGTTAAAACAATTCAACAATTTTAATTGGCGCTATCACTTCAGATACACGTTTATGCATCAGGAATAGAATCATTATATGAAGAAATACCAAAATCTATTTTGCCAATGGATTATGGCGGTGAGCAACCGTCACTGGATACATTAGCAGGTAAAATGTCATCAATTTTAAATATCACAATAAGCAAAATGTGCAAAATGATCAAATTTGCTATCAATTTACACCATTGCTAACATTTGACTATCTGAATACATACAGGGTGTTTCATAATGTCCATGCCAACGCGGAGCGCACACATGGCGAGAGCAGGAATAATAAGTGTTATTTTTCGTTGTCGTACGATCCACGTTGCTGTCACACCTAGAGTGTACAGCTCATGGTTTAGCCGCGCGCAACGCGTGATTATTCGTCAATCCTTTTTAATTAATATCTCAATTATTATTGCGAAAATTGCAAAACGGTAAAAGACTTTTTTATTCAGTTTACCGCACTCTATCCGCGCACAAGCGTTGGAACGGACATTATGAAACGCCCTGTATATATTTATCAATGTAACAACTAAATCACAAAACAATAGAAAATAAATAACATTTTCATATGTTTGACGGAAAATAACTGTTATCTTAATTATTATTATTTAAACAACAACAGATACTTATTTCACGCAACTAATCTTTTAATTTGGCTTTGCTTAAAAATGTCTATTTCTATTATTTAATTACCCAAATAACAAACACATTCTATAAACATTCTATAAATATTTGTTGAAAATATTAGAATATTCTTTTTATGTACCAAAAGATGTTCTTTAAATCTTCATAGAACGTTCAAATGAGACCAATTTTAATATTCCAGATAGGTTAAAAAAATATTCTTTATTATATTCCAGGAATATTCAGAGAAGATGTTTAATTCTATGTAAAGAACATTCACTGAATATTCTACTAAATTATTTTTATTCTAAATATTTATGCAAATACATTGATATAAAAAAAAGGTTTAATCAACTTTACCAATATTAAATGTTAAACAAAAGTTTTTATTGTTTTAATTTTTTATTCCAATAATATGTTTTAAAAATAAAAATTGATATTTTTAACAAAATAATTATATCTGTAAAATTGTACACATTCTTACAATAAAATATATAATTCTAAGCATGCTGTGATTCCTCTTTTAATGTTTCTATAAAAAGTCGCTTTACTACGTTTTATCCCAGACAGCACGCATGTCCAAAATCGAGACATAAGACGTCTTAAAGACGTCATTAAGACGCCTTTTAGACACGGTATCTAAAAGACGTCTTAATGATGTCTTTAAGATGTCTTATGTCCCGATTTTAGACATGTGTGCTGTCTGGGATATTATTTTCGAAAAAATTTTCGAAGATAAACTCGAAAAGCCAGAAGTTTTGTTTGGTTTTCTAAAACGAAAAATTATTTGTTATAAGAAAATACTTTCAAGGTTATGTTAGGGTTAGGTTAAAGAATCTATTATTTTAAGCAACCATTTTTACTAAAAAAACTCTTAAAATCTAAACTTACCTTTGGATTAATTAAATCTTTGTATTAATTATAATTGCGGTTTGAATTGTACAGACTAATCAAGACTAACTGCGTAACTATTAATGCACGTGCTGATCGGAAGTGGAATGGAAATGAAATTGACAGAAGTTAAATCTTGATCTATTTTCTGCTATGCATTCTGAACGTCATCTATATGTACATCTTCAATACATTTGAATATTTAGTGAACATTTATGGAATATGTAAACAATATGTTTCTATTGCTGATTTTAACATATTCTGGGCAGGTTTATAGAATATTCTTTATGAACAAAGATATTCTACAGACATATATAAATGATTTCTTCTAGAATATTCTCATAAAAATATATTTGACGCAACATAGAATATTCATACAATATTGTGTGTTATCTGAGTATTTAAATACTAAAAATGGTTAAATGGTTTTTAAATTTTATAAATTTAAATTTTTACGATATTATTATTTTCAGATATGTGGAATACGAACCTGGTTAAACGAAGGAATTGGTTTCTAACAGAAGAAAACCGTAAAGCCGACGAATCTCTCCGAAAAACTCTGTGATAGATCCAAACGATATGTTCGGAGTTTCAGGAACATTTAGAAAATTAGAAATCGATTAACACGCGAATATTTTTTTATAAATAAAAAAACAAAATGAAACTTTTAAACATATATTCAAATAATCGAAAATCATTTAATAAATATTAGATCTGCATTACCGTTATTAATATTTAACATTTTAAACAACAATTTAAAGTTATGCATATGTATATATGCATATGTATATGCATATGCATATGTATACCCAGTCAGCAAAATGTTAGCAGCCTGCCGGCAGTTTGCGAGCAGATTCGCTCAGAACTTGGCAGCAGATACAGTGCCATCTGTGTCCGCATTAAGCTCGTGTTCTGCCGGCAGAACCTGTCGACATAAGCTGACAGCAGATTGGCAGCAGAAACTGAGCAGGACCTGCACAATGCAATTTGATGTCAGATTGACGGCAGAAATCGAGCAGGATCTGCGTAGTGGAATTTGATGTCAGATTGTCGGCAGAAATCGAACAGGATCTGCGTAGTGGAATTTGATGTCAGATTGTTGGCAGAAATCGAGCAGTATCTGCCGTAATTTAAATGGAATAATGACATTAAATGTTTTAAATTAATTAAATGTATGCAATAGGTATGTAATATA